GCCATGACGGCGCGAAAGGCATGACAGCAAGCATGACAGGAACTTCAGGAAGCAAATCACATCAATCATGCCGCCCCGCCGCCTGCAGCAGTGAATGCATCAGACGAATGCATCAAGCCAATTGGCATCGCTCTCACGATATGAGTGGGTGGGTGGGTGGATGGATGGGTGGGCGGAGGGCGAAGTGATGCATCATGCATGGAATGACTGCAGTCACATCATGGCTGCACAAACGTGTGTTCGGCTGATGAATGACGCCAGATGCCTCAGGTGACTCTGTTGACCACCCTCTTGTTTGTCACAAATGGGTGTTCGTGCCTCAAACGTGAAGCAGCTGCTCTTCCGTTTACATCGTGACTCAACCTCGCCAAGCAAACTCCGCTTCTCGTCGCAGATCACCATCGAGAATGGATCATCTCGAAAGATGACCATCAAAATGTCTGTATTTCTCCATGGAATCACTCTTTCATCGGTCCGCTCTTTCACAGAGAGGTTCGTCATCGTCTTGCGGTCATTTTGAGCCACGAATGGTCGGTTTGGATGGCTGATTTGAGTCTCTTTGGGAACTGACCCGGTTATCCGGCCCTTTTTTGACTGTGTACGGAGTGATCGGGAGGGGCTGACCCACATACGCAATTGACCCGCTTATGCGGTGACCCACTTACGCGGTCCGGACTGTACACAAAAAGACAACAAAAAGATGGGATGGGATGTGTGTGTGTGGGGTGGGTGAATGCAGGCGTTCTCCTGTTTGTATTGCTCGGCCTGTCGCCCTCACTCGACCCTCTCCACTACTTCCGGCAAATAGATAAACACACACTCACCCAAGACACACAGTCGACCGACCTGTCTAGCTTCGTGTGTGTTCGTGTGTCTCATATCAGTGTGCCGACGTTCTTCGCTCTCCCAGGCTGGCCGATCCTCCTCGCAATCTGGGTCAGTCCGTCAGTCAATATTTGTATGCACAATCATGCCTTTCGGGTGTGTGCTGCTGCAGGCGTGTGTGTTTGCTGTCGGCGCGCGTGTGCATCTCGTGAGGTAAAACAGTGACGATATAGACCACTGATGGCCACTGACTTAAAGCAATTTTGAATTCTATCTCACAGGGAGGAGCAGCGCAAGTACGGCACCACCAGCCCCGACACGACGACCACCGTGTGAGCCACACAACGACAGACAGACAGACAGACAGACAGACAGATATGACTGACACAGAGGGAGGAGAGACGTGAGTGACGGATAGAGGGCTGACTTGATGGATGGATGGATGCAGTAACTGCTGTAAAACGATGACATGACTTGATCGTGTTTTTAATCGCATCCAGTCTTACTTGTGGCGTCATTCAACGTGCATACCGGATGAAGGCCAAATTGCCGTAGTTCCGCTGAGCTGTGCATGTGGTGCATGGCATTCATGCGGCCATATGTGGTAATGTTCACACAGGGGAGCACACACACGGACAGCCACACGCACGTCTCGCACACCCACTCGTTCCTCTCTTCTCCTCTCTTGCTGCCTTTATATATGTACACGTGTACATACATGGGGAAGCTGGCTGTCTTATTTGGTTCTCTTTCTTTCTCGCTCCTTGCTCGTCAATCAATGACTCGGCCGCAGCTGCGGTGAAGTATAACTGTGTCTTGAATGCAAGTCATTCTACCTGATGCCAAAAAGGGGCTGACGATCGCTACAATGCGGTACTTCACGGCCACTTACAACATGCACCGACACAGACGTACTGACGCCCAGTCGTCTCGCAGCACATGAGAGAGGGTCGCTCCCTCCCCGACTTCCCACCCCTCCATCCCCCATGCACAAGACACCGATACATGTACTCGGCCAACACACAGGAGGGGCCGTGGATTGCAGGCCCGTGTATTTTGCGTGCGTCGCACTCTGTGTACATCTATCTACAGAACAGAAACCAACAATCCATTCAGTCACGCTTGACTGGCAGGGTGGCGGCCCATGCGTATGTGATGGCTGCGGGATTGTAGATGGTAGTATCTTTGTAGTTATTTATAGCCATTTCTAGCTCATGGAATTGAATATGAAACCACAGAAACACGAGCGCGAGTGCGCTACCCCCATTCTTCCTCCCCGGAAGACCAGGCCCAATCCTGAGCGGACACGCAGAGACGCACGCACGCACACAAACACACATACGCACACGGAGCCTCTCTGTCTGTCTGTCTGTCTGTCTGTCTGAGCGAGCTCTGCAGCCATCAGGTCTACACACACACACACACACACATACACAACACACGCACACACAATGCGACATTGTCAGACACGCCCAGACACACAGACAGATGGTGTTCTTACAAAAGTTTGCCATGCCCCTTTTCAATTCCGGCAGGCCTTGACGCAAGAAAAACTCCGCTTCTTTCCTGTCAGCAGAAGACAGCCTGCAGCAAGCAAGCACAGAAGCCACGAGACACACGCACATAACTAGACGCACTCTCTCGCACGCACGCAATTCATTGCATTGCAGCCACGTAGGCTACAACCCACCTTGCAATTGCTTTCGGCAATCGTTTCTTCAAGCGATTCTCGCCGTCAAGTAGTACATACCATAAACATGTTCTCCCCGTCAGTCACCCACTGGCGGAGCTCATCATCGGACGGCGGTGGGCCTCTCTTCCCAGCCATCCGGCCCTGCCACACGCACAAACACACTGGTTGAGAGATACGTCAGTTTGCGCGTTCCACTCACTGCTCACTCACCGCTGCTCTTGGTCCAATGCTGGGATGGTCATGGCATGGCATGGCGCACCACCCTGTCAGCGAGCAGACGTCCTTCTCTGGGCTTGCAGGTGATGCCATGGCCCCTGTTGGGGAAGCTGCTCGTGCACTGGTGATGACGGATGAGGAACGACAATGCTCTTAGAGTGGTTGTGCATGACGCCGCTGTCGTTAGGCAGATGGCGGCAACGAACGCATACATCATCCAAAGACAGAGAGATGAGTTGCTAGTCTCCCTTGGTTAGTCTCCCTTCACAGAGCCGAGCCCATCTTAGGCTCGCAAACATCGTTCGGCGAGCGGTCGATGGCGATGGAGTGCTCTCGACATCTCCTTCGGCCTATGGCTGCATCCCCTGCCCTTTCTGCGGCAAGGGCGCATTTCCTCGTGCTGTCGAAAGGCTCGGCGTCGTCCACAGCCACTGGTGTCCCCCGCCCAGCACTCGGAGCGCCATCCATTCTCCCCAGGCAGCAGCTCCAGTGGCGTTTCTTCAGCTCTGCTGCTGCGGTGTCATCCAGCAGCCTTGAGGCGCGGTTCAACGAGATGCTGGCGAAAGGCAACTTGCAGGCCAACGAAGCGCAGAAGGCGCTGGTCAAGAAGCTGATGGCGCTGCAGGGGAGAATAGACGCGCAGGGTGACGTGCCCGCCCCAGCGGCACCCGCCGACTTTAGTAGGACTTCGCTAGGAGGGAGGACCGCAGCAGGGGCGGCCCCTGCAGGAAGCGGCTCCTTCTTCGGGCGGCTGGGGGGTTTGTTCGGTGGCGGGGCGGTGTCCGACACAGTGGCGAAGGACAGTGCTGGTGCGGACGGTTTCGGTGGTAGTTTATCAGTGAGTCCCGCTATCAAGGGGCTGTATATCTGGGGCGGCGTTGGGCAGGGCAAGACCATGATCATGGACAGGTGGGCCAAAGATTGATAGACAAGACACAGAAGCACCAAGGAGAGCGAGCGGCTCTCTCATCCATTCGTGCCTTCTTTCTCCCTGCTCCCCCCGTGTGTTTATACATACGTGTCTGTGGGTCGCTTCATGGTTGGCTGATACATACAGCTTTTATGACACGACGCATCTGTCGTCCAAGAAGCGCGTGCACTTCCACCAGTTCATGCTGGACGTGCACGCCCGGCTGCACAAGAAGAAGGCGCAGAACAAGGCTGAGGGGCGCGCCGACGCCGACCCGCTCATACAGGTGGCGTACGACATCCGCAGAGAGGCCCAGCTGCTGTGCTTTGACGAGTTCCACGTCGTTCACATCACCGACGCCATGATACTCAAACGACTCTTCGAGGGGCTCTTCCAGGTAGGGAGGTGAGGACATTGGCTGCCTGGCTGCATGGCTGCCTCGCTGCCTCGCTGCGTATCGTCGAATGAGTGCGACCATCGATCGGTTGTGTCTTGATTCCTTCAGAGCGGGTGCATTGTGGTGTCGACGAGCAACCGGCCGCCAGATGATTTGTACAAGGGCGGTCTGAATCGCAGCCGATTCGTGCCCTTCATCGGTCTGCTCAAGCAGTGCTGCGAAGAGTTCCAAATCGAAACCAACAAGGACTTCAGGTGACTGACTGAAACGGTGACCCACAGGAACAAGGCTGAACGAATCAATGATCAGGTTGACGAAGCTCGTGGCGCAGCATCACGGCCTCTACAATGTGCCCAGCAGGTGTGTAAGGGATGGACAGGGCCGGCCATCAATCACATGACATCTGCTGCTCTTGATTGACATCCGTGCTGCATCCATCGTATGTGTCAATCGTGTGTGTCAGGTCTGAGGATGAGATCCTCAAGCACATGCAGTACCTGACCAGGGGGCACCAGCTGGAGGAAGCGGAAATCGACGTCATGATGGGCAGGACCCTTAAGGTCACTCAACACACACACACACACACACACACACAACTCCAGCCCTCAGTCACCCAGCCAGCCGCACATGGTACGTATGTACACAAGCTCTACCAACTTGCCTGTGTGTCTTGTCTGTCTGTCTGTCTGTCTGTCTTCCCATGCACCAGGTGCCTCATCAAGCGTCCGGGGTGGCTCACGTGACCTTTCCGGCCCTCTGCGCGACGAGTGTCGGTGCGGCCGACTTCATAGCGTTGGCTTCGACCTATCACACAGTGTTTCTGAGTGACATCCCCAGCCTTGAGAACATGGACGAGTCGCCCAACGAGATCAGGCGCTTCATCAACCTCATTGACATCCTCTACGAGAGGGGATGCCGCGTCATTTTCGACGCCCAACTCCCGCCATTCAGGCTGTTCGGCACCACCCGGACCACTGAGGAATTCGAGAAGCTGCGCCAGTGTCTGAAGAAGCGGTGGGAGCGGCTCCAAGACGCGCTCGACAAACTGGCAACGGTGAGTGAGTGAGTGGGGCAGAACGATCTATCGATGGATGGATGGATGTATCTGTATGTGTTGCACGATGGGTGGTCTGGCGGGTGGTCTGGCGGGTTGCATATGTCAGCGGCCGAGCGCGGGTGAGCTCAATCAGGAAGAATTCGCCACTGCGGTCGTCGACGTCAGTGGATGCGAACCAAGGTCGGTGTGTGAGTGAGAGAGAGAGTGAGCGAGTGAATCGGAAAGCGAGAAGGTCACTCATTCACTCGCAGCACATGCTTACATAGTTGCTTTCATGTTGGTTGATGTATGTCTCCCTCCCTCCCTTTTTGCCTCCCTTTATGACCCACCCAGGTGTGCGCAGCACATCTTTGAGGTGCTCGACACCAACCACGACGGCAAATTGCACGTCGAAGCTCTCAGGTACACACACCACACCTCCAGTCAGTCAGCAAACGACTGGCCTCTCCCTTGGTTCCCTGCTTTCCCCGGTTGTGTCTGTCTGTCAGGTCTGCTTTGTTCTTCCACGCCATGAACTACGACATCCACCCGCCGTCCGAGACCGACGCGTGGTTCTTCGACAGAGAGAAGGCGGCCAACGAGGCCACCAGGCTCAGCGAGGGGCGCTCGGAGCGCATCACCACCAGGGAAATGGGACTCGGATATGAACTGTACAAGTAAGGGGCACCGACCGACAAACGGACGGACGGACCGTGGCCTGCCTACATGCTTTGCCTTTTTGGTGCGTGTTGTGTGATTGTGTACAGTGAGGGCGGGTCATCATCCAAGGAAGACAACAAGTTCGCCTTCGTCAGGACCGTCTCCAGGTAGGTGACTCACTCACAATTACTTCAGAAACCAACAGCAGAGAGCACCGCTCCTCCCTCCCTCCCTCCCTCCCTGGGCCGTCCGTATGTGTGTGTGTCAGGATGCGTGACATGATCAGCCTACCGTACTTGCAGAAGCATCAAAAGGAGTTCCACCTGGACGACCTCTCTCAGCTCGGCCTGAAGCGCCCCCAGCACGATCAAACACCACCCCCACCAAGTGACGCCACCGAGGCAATGAGTGAACCGAGACACAGGGAGAGGGACCACAGGCCCACGAGGCCTCCCAAAGAGCGGCCCGTCGACACACACGAGAGGCGGCCTTTTCCAGCAGAAGAGGGCACCTACCCACAGCCGGCCTTTGCCTTTTCGGGGTGATTTACTGACTGGGCTTCTAGATGTGTGTGCACCGGCTTTTTCTTTGGTTCTGTCTATCTGCCTGTAAGGGGCTTTTTCGTCTGTACAGATCGATTGGTAAGAGAAGCGGGCGGGTTTTAATGCGGGTATCATATGCATCCATAGTGTGTCTGATAAGGAACGGTCCGTGGCTGTATGTGATGGTTACGTTACGCTAGTAAGCAGGCTGAGGGGCAGGAGTGGGTCATGACGTCTCACTCGCTCTTGGGAATGCGGCGGCCCCTTTTTGAAGGCATGCGCCTGGCGATGAGTGAATGGCTGTGCGTGTTGCGGGCGCGATCCAAAGACTTTACTGGAGAAGCTCCCCTCATTTTCATTCCTCAACGCATAGCAGCACAAAGAGCGAAAGTGAGCCGGGCCGGCGCCTGTCTCGCGTTGACGTCGTATATCACTGATTCACCACTTGCAGCCATCCATCCATTCAGTCACCCAGCCACCCACCCATCGATATCACTCACTCACTCAGTCACGCACACAAAACAAGCAACAAGCAATCATGTGTCTCACCTAACGGTATGTTTGCAGGATGCAGCCAAGCCGCAGGTGGGCCTGCAAGAAGGCACAGGTTGCCTTGGGGAAAGGGCACATCACAAAGTAGGCAATGGACATCGGCACAGACTAACTTCAATCTGTCTCTGTGTCCGGAAATGATGCATGTGTCTGTTTATTGCTGCAATCAGAATGCCGTCTGATGCTCGTCTGGTGGGTTGATGTAGGGAGTATCTCAAACAGCAGCGAGAGGCTAAAGTCATCAAACAGGTAAGGACAGCGCACCAACAGACGCAGACTTTACTGACGTGCGTGCTGCAGAGACACAGCTGAAGGCCTTGTCAGCCGATATCATGACCACCACCACTCACTGCTCTGTTGTTGCTGCTACGTATGTATGAGAGCGGATGAGAGCAACACACATACACACACACGCGTGTGCCATCACCTGACGACAATTGAGAGCATGTCTCCCCCTTTAAAGGCTCTCCCTGTGTCTAGGTGGCTTGGGCGGTATCTGCAGGAGATGGAGGACGAGATCGAAGGCCTTCACCAACCTCAGACAATCCGCCAAGCGTCTGTCTATAAGGGTGTCACTATGTGTGTGGGTCTCCGTTCGCTCATTGGTCAATTGGCCCATTGACTGCTGTGTGTGCATTCTGGGATGGGTGGGTGCAGTCGAGAAGGGCGAGAACATTGGTTTCAATCCCGACACGGCCGACGCCCAACAACTTGTGCAGTGGTCGGTGGGCAGACAGGATGAATGGATGGATGGCCTTGATTGTGATTCTCTCATCCTTCTCAGCCTCCTTCCTGGCGCGTATAGGTGTGTGCAGGTATACGGATCTGAAGGCGTCGATTGAGCTGGCTCGAAAAGCCGTGAAGAAGATCAAGGCTCATGAGGTCCCTTTCAACCTGGTGCGTCCATCCGTCCAGGAATGCACGAGTTCCTCCACCCACCCACCTCTCTCTCTCTCTCTCTCTGTGTGTGTGTGTGTGTGTCTGTGTGTACCCAGGAGACGGCATCTGACCACCACATCGTGTGCCTTCATCGACTGGTCCTCGAGGAGAGGAAGCACCAACAAATCATCGAAGCGCGAAAAATCAAATTCGTGAGAGACGAACAGACAGAACGGCAGACAGGTCCCACACACACAACACGCAGACCTTCAACGCACTCTGCTTTGCTGTGCTGTCTGTGTCTCGTGCAGGCCTAGCTGGGCGCGTGATTTGTATTCACTTTGCTGAGCCGCTTGCTCGCGGGAGGAACATTCAAGACTTGCAAGCCGCGACCGAAAAATGTGCCGCCGGTTTTGGACATACATTTGTTCTGCCCCATGCCTTGGTCTCGATTGTGCTGTCGGCGCGTTCGAAATGGATGGCCGGTTTCTATGTTTTGTGCCTCCTTGTTCTCTTGCCTAGGTATTTGTGTGGGTGCGTAGTGTGAGGCTTTAGGATATGACGTGTGTGTGATTTGTGGCTCACATGGATCCACTCGTCCATTCCATCGATGCATCCCACGAGATCGCACCTGCCCTCCCAGCCGGCTGGCCGCTTGAGTGCATTCTTCCGCTTTGTGTGTGTGGATGTGTGTGTGGATCGATCCAATAAGTGAGTGGTGTGGATGGCCTGCCTTGGTGGAGACCTGACCGTGGTGATGATGGGATGAATGTTATGTCACCTCTCAGCCGTTTGGCCATGTTTGTATATATATACTCAGTTCCCATTCATCGACACACTGTCAACCAACACGCACCAGACATGCACTCGCACACACACGGAACACACACAGACACACACACAGAGAGAGAGAGAGAGAGGAAGGAGGGGAAGAGTCGGCCCACGCATGCATATCATATGGGCCTATCCTGTGTATGTATGTATGTTATGTGTGTGAGTATAAACACCGCAAGCACCGCACCAGGTGACAGACAGATCATATCATATCGATGGTATATACACAGAAAAGAGAAACGACCCACACCCACTCACCTCACTCCACCCACGCACCCACACCCAGTGAGTGATCGAACGGCGGGACAGTGTGTGTGGGTGTGTCCAACTAAGCATACATACATACATACATATGTGTGTGTGTCAGTGCGACAGCCACCCACATAAATCGACGCGACCTCAGCACCGTCCGTCTCTCTCTCTTTCCTATCCGCCCGCCTGGTGCCCTGATGGACAAGCGAACGAATCGATGGACCACACCACACCACACCACACCAGACAAACGAAGCAGTGCGGTGCTGTGGATGGATGTGCCCTCTGAGATGTGACGGATGTGTTATGTTGTTGGCTTGCCTTCTGACTGCGAATAGAATTTGGACAGAGTCTGCGAACCAAACGACACGCACACAGACGTCTTGTTGTTTGAGCGATGCTCGCACTCCCTCCCTCCCTCCCTCTCTCTTTCGTGTGTGCTGTCGGTGTGTTGATTACGTCTTCGCTCTTGAGGTGCTTCTCAAAGGAGCTCAAACGGTCCCTGTGAGCAATCACAGACACAAACCAACAGACAAACAAGTGTGTGTGGCCCATGGATGGATGGATGGCTGGGTGGCTGAGTGAGTGGCTTACAGGAGCAGCTGTGTCTTGTCCTTCTTGGTCTCGAGAAGTCTCTTGAGGTTGACCACATAGCTGTCGACATCCGAGCCGGGCTTCTCGACGTCATTCAACAGCTTGAACTCCTGTGTGAAGGGAGGGCGAGTGGGTCAAGTGTGTGTGCACGTGCAGTGGGGAATCCTGTGTGCATCTGTGGGTACCTACCTGCTGAATGAGCTCCACGAAGGTGTCAAGGTCCTCTCTGCAGACAGACAGACAGAGAGAGAGATTAGTGCACTCATGCTGCCGAGTCCGGCTGGCGGTCGCTGACTTGTGGTACTTGATGAGCTCCTCCTCCTCCTTCAGAATGGTGTCTGCTCATGCAATCAATCGCATGCGTTAAGGGATGGATATATGCACTCAGACGACGCGTGTATGATGCAGGTGTGTGGCTGACCGATGAGCATGTCGTGCGCCCTCGCCATGGTGTCACGGTCAGCCTGACAGACAGACAGACAGACCGACAGACCACACACAGCATAGCACGGAGAGAGAGACTGAATGAGTAAAGGTGGCCTCACTCACCAACCCACCCACCCACCCGCCCCACCGCTGACAGACCGACCTTACCTTGGCGCAGTCGATCCACTCGCCGCCCACGCGCACCATCGACTCGGGCCTGCCAGCCGTATGGCTGTCGTTCCCTCCCCCACCCGCACCGCCAGCCGCCCTGCCGGCCCCTGGTGCTGCGGCAACAAACCTCGACTGAAGGGGGCCTGGGGGCTCACGAGGGTACACCTGATCTGTGCGTTAGTGTGGATGAATGGAAGGATAAACAAATGGATCGACGGACGGTCGCGCATGCGGTTGGTTGCATCGCTCATTAATGCATTGACATCACTGGCTGACTGACCTTTTCTCCGAGCGGGCGACGGGGGCCTTGGCGCAGACACCACCGGAGCACCAGCACCACCCATCGCACCGATAGCACCAGCAGCACCCTTCCACTCCCTGTCCCTCCCTAACGCACTGGCCGACACACTACTGACACTACTGACCACACCCACACCCACTGGCCGGCCGCCCTGCCTGCCGCCGTCCTTGTCCCTCTCTCTCTCCCTCTCCTTGTCTCTGTCCTGCTGTTTGGCCGTCTGCGGTCTGGGGAGAAGCGACGGGATGGATGAAGGAGGAGGCTGCTGTGGTGGCTGTGGCTGTGGCTGTGGCTGTGCCTGTGAGGGTGTGGACTGTGTTGGGGGCCATGACGGCTTGCTCGTGGTGCTCTTGGGAAGGGCGGCTTTGGGTTGGGGGGCGTCGACACTCACTGTCTGCAGGGACTCCTGATTGACATACCATACACGTACAGAGGGGAGCGATCGATGGCTGGCTGGTGTGGGTGGGTGGGGTCTGACTACCAGCATTTCGTCGGTGTCGTCGTCAAACATGACACCGTCCTGATGACATTTGCGTCGAACACACGCGCATCGACGTGGATGAATGACACAGCTTCATATAGCCGTATACATATCCCTCACTCACGTCGTCGTCTCCTCCTTCATCCAGGTAGTCGAATCCCTACACGTCCACACATACGGACGCAAGGAACAAATGTGATCTGTGTGCCAGTCTGTCGTCTGTCTGTCTGTCTGACTGTCTGTGACTGACTGACCACGTCAGTGGGCCCATCAGCACTGCTCGGCAGCTGCCCACGGCGCAATTCCTTCACTCTGGTTGGTTACAGAGAGAGCCACGGTCGCGTGTTTGTTGTTTCTATGGGCCTGCCCCATCCCTCCGAACCGCCACAGACCTGTAAGCATATCTGAGTGTGTTGAGTGTGTGTTCGCATGATGCGGCGCTGGGCGAGAGGTTGGCAATCATGACGGTCCGACAGTTGCCGATGAACGAGTCCTTCAACACCTGCGTGTCATCCATCCATCCATCAAGGGACGCCTTCATTCACGCATACCTACCTGTGTGAGCTTGGATCCCCTGAAGGGCTGGTGCGTCTTCTGCTGGTCGAGTGCCCGGATGCACTCCTTCAGGGCCAGCAGCGACTTGTTGATCTCTGCACCGTCCATGCTGCACACGCACACACGCGCACACACATAAACTCATAAACGGTAAACGGCTACACGATGCATCCAATGACCCACCGTGTTTGCCTGTCCTGGTCAATGGTGTCGGCGCCTGGAAGGCACACAATACAATACAAAACAACACGACAAAACACATTATCTCACATGTGTGTGTGGTTGCCGTCCGTCCGTCGTCTCTCACTCACCCCTCTCGCTGCCCGCCAGATCGATAAAGGACAGCTTGCCTGCACGTAGAACGCACCATACAGACAGTCAGTGTTGGATGTACAACGGTCGTCTGTCTGACAAACCAACCGGTACCTCGTCAGTCAGTCTGGTTTGTTTATTTCCCCCGCTCAGCTCACCGTGCAATTTGTGTTCCCTCTGCTCCTTGAGTGCTACGACCAGAATGGCGTGCGATCGTGACGAATCGACGTTGGCACCCGTCACACCTAAACACACAACCACACGCAGGACATTAACACGTACACACACGTGCGTGACTGACTGTGTGAGACGGTGAGTGGCTGAGTGAGTGAGTGACCTGTGGTCCTGGAGGAGAGTCCGTAGTCGATGTGCGCCATGAGCTCTTCAACGCTGTTAATGCACTCCTCCTTCAAACCTGACATGGATACACCACACACACAGACACATCGACCCAACGACCAAGGGAGAGAGGGAGGGAGGGAGGGAGGGACGAAGGGATGGTTTCACGCACCCGTACCGCCCTTGGTCACTCACTCACCGCATATGACGACCTTCTGCTTGGAGTTCTCGCGCGCCTGAAGCAGGTTCCTGCACATACATACACACATACACACATACACACATGCGAATGAATCGTCAGGTGTCAGTCAGTCATTCCGGCCTGCATGCCTTTGGTTGAGGAGGTCGAAGAGCTTCCCGCAGTATATCTCGTAGAAGGCCACATACACCTCTGATCGATGAAGGCGCACACACATGCACTCACACTCAGCCACGCACATGTGTGGGTGGATGGAGCGAGGGATGGGTGCAGTGCACAGCTGGCATCCAGCGGTGTGACCTATGGCGTCTGTCTTGCGGTGCGGTACTTACGCAGGTTGTAGTACTCGGCCCTTGACAGCTTCTTGAAAATGTCCTGGGCGGCCAGAAGGAACAGACCTGAACCAACGAACCAAACCAACCCCCATGGTAGATGCACAGACAAACACACGAACGACGTGACGTCGGCCACGGCCCACAGGCGGACCTGGCGTCGTCTCGCTTGATGCAGGGTCCTTGCGCGGCGGGCCCATCATGGTGTATGTCTTGCCGCTACCTTCACGCACACACACACACACACATATCCAACAAACATACACGACGGATGGACGGATGGATGGATGGATGGATGGATCTGTGCACAGAGGTACCTACCGGTCTGGCCGTATGCGAAGCAAGTGCACTTTGCCCGTTCGGAAAAGACGGCATCGACCAGCGGTTTGACGCAGGACTGATACAGCTGCACAACACAAAACAAGCGTATGTATGTTATGTATACACACACGGGCGAGCAGGTGTACGTACGTACTGAACCCATCATATGTATATGTATGTGTATGATGGGACGGACGGACGGACCGACCGACCTACCGACCTGTTCGTTGGACACACTGTCGTCGAAGCACTGGTCGAAGATGAACACATGCTCCTCCGTATACCTCGTCAGATCGACCTTCAGCCTGCGTACACGCACATACGACATGTATGATGCGCAGTGACACCTCTGTCGCCCTCCCTCCCTCCCTCCGTCGATGCCTGTTTGGCAGCGACCGCTGTCTTACTTTGGCTCCCTGACGACGATGGAGAATTTGTCCCTGCAGTCGAGTACGTCAGGCTGGTTGGTCTGGGTCTCCTTCTTGTTCATGGGCCGCTTGCGCACCACCACCTTGATGCGCGGGTCGCTGCTCGACGTGCTGCTCCCCGCCACCGCCGCATCCACTATGCCCGTCGCATCTTTGCTGACCCCGGCGCCGGTCGCACTTGTGAGGGCCGCCTGAGCCGCGGCCGACAGGGACGAACTCACTGTCGACGGCAGCATTGACTTGACGTGCCTGTCCGCTGCCGCTGCCTGCAAGTCAACATCATGTCAGAGAGGTGGCAAGCGTGGCATGCAATGCAGTCCTTTTGTGTTTTGGTGTGTCGTGGTCCGTGTGGCTTTGACCTCAAGTACTTTTGCGATGGTAGGATGCGATGACGCTGTGCTTGGAGGCTAACGGAACCAAAAGAACAGATCTCGGCTTCTTCGAATTGCGATCGCTGCGAGCTCACGCTTCATCCGCTCTGACATGCTGCTAATATCACCCATTCTGAACCGGCTTGCTGCGACTCAGCCAGCAACGTCGTTGATCTACGAGTGTGCATCTGTCACTGATCTACTGGTGATGATCTGAGGTGATCTGAGGATGACTCCTGCACACTCCGGACACCGATGCAAGACCGCCCTCCGTCGGGTCGCCCCTGCATCCGTATCCGTCCCGCTGGCCGCCCTGGTGCCACTGATCTGCCTCCAATCAGCCCTCTCATTCATCCCCCACCCACACCCCCTTCATGCACAGCTTTCCCACAGGCCACCAGCGCGGCTCAGACGGCCTAGGCCATCTTCCACCCTGCAGATGTTCCTCTTTGGCGGCGGTGAGGCCATTGACCGAGGTGGCCCGAACAGGCACCAGCAGTCTGCCTTCTTCGGCTCGTTCGACGCCCTGGAGAGCGAGGTGCAGCACTACCTGGGCGACAGGGAGCGGCAGATAATCACCGGCGCACCAGCAGCAGAGGGAGACCATGGCAATGGCGGTTTGCAGGCCTTCATTAGGTGGCCGTTCGGGCGGAGCGAGAGGCATCGTCAGGGTGACAGTGACGGCCAGCAGTCCCCCTTGTCAGCTCAGGATGTTCGTGAGAGGCTTGCACGTGCTCCACTAGAGTATGGGGAGTTGAGCCGGTATGGGTATGGGTATCTGGTGGACCCTATCATGCGCTACCACGGCGGATACATCCGCGTGTCGCAGCGGCTGAACCTGCCTTACATGTCGGCACAGAGGTGGCATCCGGAGGTCCTCGTTGACCAGCTCAATACAAGACTGCAGAAACAAACCGCCAAGTGGGCCTAAGAGTCAGGGAGTGATGGGCAGAATGAATGGATGGTTGGTGTTGGTTCGCTTGTTTCCCTGTTGCCTTTCAGTGAGGGTGGCGAGTCGAGTGTGTCGGAGCTGCCATTCCTCGGTGAGCGAGCGGGACGCTCCCCCACATACCCATCCATCCATCCATCCATCCATCCACTATGCGTCGCCGTTTGTCTGCCTCCCTGCCGGCTATGCAGCTGGTGCCCATCAGTGGGTCAACAGGAGTGCGGACGCCCCTACCCGCGACAATGGCCAGGTTTCCGACGGTCTGGGTGTGGTGCTGTACCCCAATGTCGGCGACGTGGTGCTCTGCCCAATGGCTGACGGATACTCACTCGCACAGGCACGTTTGCACTTCTATTGCTTGGCAGCCACCAGCTAGCTATGCAATGCTGCGTATGTGGGGTGGATGGATGGATGGATGTGGATCGTTTCATTCAGGTGCAGAGGTTGCGGGAGATGGAGGGCGGGGTGTTTGTGGCGACGGTGCAGCGGCTGGTGAGAGACAAACAGTCGGGCCTGTACAAGCCTGACAGGATGGACAAACCCGCCACTAGGGTACGAGCAAACAAACACACAGATTCACACGGAGAGAGGGAGGGGCAAGCCACAGACAGTGATGTATGTACATGTAAGATGACGGACGGGCTGTCTGTGTGTGTGTGTGTTCAGAATGTGGAGGAGCTGTGTCCGGTGCGTGCCTACTACATCATGGGCAAGCAGGCCTTCCAGGCACAAAACGCACCAAACACACACAGTGCACACACACACGGGCATCAATATTTATTGGCACATCCATCCGTCTGTCTGTCTGTCTGTCTGTCGTCTGTCGTGTCTCACTCAGGTTGAGTTTGACAGCGACACAGAGGAGCGGCCAGCACTGGTGGCCGGCAGATACACGTGAGTAAATCACTGACTCACCCAATTGCTCATCAGAAAGAAAGAAAGAAATCCACACCATTATCCATCCACTCTTCCTTCCCCGCCCTCGCTCTCCCTGTCTCTCCCTTGCTCTCTCAGGATCGATGCAGATCTGGTCAAGGCCTCTGGTGTCGGCCGTGAGGTGCTCAACCAGCGGGCCTACGACGAGTACCTCAACGACTACCGAGTGCTCAAGGAGGACCTCATCGTCAAGGCCGTCTATTCGGGCATCGCGGGGTTCGTCCTGACCGACCTCACCTTCGACCTCCAAACGGCTCTCATATTCCTCATCGGCAACCTCTTTGGGACCGGTCAGCGAACGGCCGACCGAAAAAGCCAACCAACAAACACATAGATACATCTATCTGCCGTCATGTGTTTGTTGCATTCCGTTCCTTGTGTGGTTATCCCTCCATCCATCCCTCCGTCCGCCACCCACTCAGCGTACCTTGGTCTCCTCGAGGCCGGGACGGACACCTTCGGGACGCCCGAAGCACAGGGACCTCTTGGAAGGCTGTCCAACATCAGGTCAGTCGGTCCCGTCAGTGGACGAGGGGGTGAGTGAATGTGTGAACGAGTGGTGGGGAGGGGGGCCGTCCGCTCACTCCTTCCTGCGTTGTTTGCTGCTTGTGTGGCAGGTTGGCGCTTCCCGTGCTGCTGATGGTGACTCTGACGCTCTACCGCTCGGCCACGGAGGGCGGCTCCTTCATCCAGGACAACTACCTCACGTGGCTCACCAGGGAACAGTTCTTCGCGGGCATCATCGGATTCCTCTCATACAGGTGTGCTATAGGCCCAAAACATACGGCACTCAAACACAACGTACATGGACAAAAGAGCGAGCCGAGCCGGGCGTCCACCATTCCCTCTCCTTGGTCTGCCATGTGCCACGCAGGGTGCCGTTCATTCTGATGGCTTTGCAGAGTCTGTTTGGCGGGCCCGACGGGCAGAAGAACATCCCTGGGTCGATCGGAGGTCTCGCCAGGATCAACGACGTGAGCGACAGACGCACACACGCACTCGCACATTCACCTGAGTCATACGCCACACACCTGCCCCTCTTCCCGTCCCCTGCTTTTTTGGTCTGCAATCAATGCATGCAGTATCTGTCAGAGAAGCGTCGTGGGCGGGAGCAGCCCAACGCCGCGCAAATGGAGCTGGATGCGCGCGACAACAAAAGGCAGCCGCCGCCCTCCTCTGCGTCCTCTGTGCCCTTCTTCGTTCCCGTGGCGGTGCTATCGGGCCCCATCTGTCTGGGTCGCACAGACGTCTTATCGGATCTGATGGCTCTTGACGACCGGTTCGCCATGCCGACATGGGTGACGCCCGACATAGACCACTCGCCTTTGACAAGGAGTACATCCGGGAGGTCCCGGGAGCTGGAGGGCATGCAGGCGCCCCCAATGCCGCAGGAGGTGCTGAGTATGATGCAGGCTGGCGCGGCTGGTGGTGGTGGGGTGGAGAAGGTGGGAGTTGGCGAGTTCTGTGAGGGCATGGATCTGATGACGGCTGATGGGAAAGATAGTACTGGTGACCTGCATACTGCTAGGGGTGGTGCTGGTGATGGCGATCGGCAGCTGGTGCTGGTGCGGAGGGGGCCAGACGGGCGGCTTTATGGACTGAGGCGCAAAGAGATCATCGACACCGCAAGACGGTGAGTAAGACGGTCGTCGGTCGGCCAACACATGACACCACAACAGGCAACCAGCACGTGTGTGTGCGCATGTTGTTTGTGTGTGTGTGTTCCACATACACAGGGGCCGTATTCCTTTGATAGAATGCGATCCGTCCTCTCTCTTCAAGCTCAAGGGTCTGGGTGACGACATCCGCCTGGTGACCATTTGGGTGACCCTGCCCTCACAGAAAGACATGGAGGCACGACTCAGGCAACAGGTGGGTATTCAGTCATAGACGTAGAAAGAAAGAAAGAAAGAAAGAAAGACAGGCAGACAGACGGACAGACAGGTCGACGAGCACTCCCCTCCCCTTGTGCATCCGCCCACGTCGATCATTGCATCTTCTGTTTGTCAACGCCTGACTGCGTGACTGGCAGGTGTTCGGCCAGGTCCCAATACAACACGAGACCTTTCCTCCTCCCCACAGTAATCGCACAGACACCGCCAGTAGCAGCAGCCACACAAGAGGCGCAATCGGTGAGGGCAATGACAACAGTACATCATTAGCATCATTGCGTGGGGTGGGTCAAGAGTTCGAGAGGCGTCGGGAAGAGATGCTGCATGAGGTCCAGGTGGGGCTGTTGAGCGGGCTGGTCGACTACTACGTGTACAATTCACAGGACAGCTCGACCAATGCGGCAAGGCAGGCAAGAGACTGTGTCGACAACGCACTCACAAACACATAGATACTTACGTGGATAGATAGCCCAACGAACCAACCGACAAACAGCCTAATGACGGAGGGAGGGAGGGAGGGATTATGTGTAGGCAGGCAGGAGGGCAGGCAGCTGTGATGCGACAGACAGAGAGATGTGCTGTGAGTGAGGTGCGATCGGTGCCAACTGAGGTGGAGAGTTTGTGCGCATGTGTGCACACGTGATGGGACTTCCGATGTCGAAAGCGCCGGTGCGGGCAATCCACCGTCTTGCATCGATCATGCGCCACGTTCGTTTGGTTGGCACCCCATGTCAGACAGGAATCAACATACAGCTGCACCACGGCTTGTAGACCTCGGCACGCGACAGGCGTGCGACAGGCATGGGCCCTCTGTGCTGTGAGTGTCCTCGAATGTCTTCGTAAGTTTGTGAAGGTGAGGCCCGAAGTGCTTGTGCGAAACTCACAAACGACGCGAGCCATGACGCGAGCACAAAACACTTCCCCATTCCGCAATGACAGGGCGTCAGTCGAGCCACATAAGCTTAATTAATTAAGCTCATTCACTCATTCACTCAGTCGTGCCTGGAGCCTCATGTGTGCCTGACGGGCGCCCCGAAATCCAACTATACCGGGAGCCACCTGCCGGCAGCCTCTGCTGCACGGGCAGCCTCTTCAACGGCGAATAGATCTTGAGGTGTGCCTTACGAACAGTCTCTGCATAGCAGACAGAAGACACACATCCGTGCATGTGTGTAAGTACCGATCAAGTAGGTTAAAATGCAAACGGCGGGTGGGTATTCTTATCCGTCTGTCCGTCTGTCTCAGAGTCTAACTCACTTCTGTCCTTGTCCCAGTTGTCGTGTCCAGGGAAGAATTTGATGGTATGGTTGCCATCCTCGTCCGTCTCAGTTGACATGAGGTCAGCGCCCTTGAACACGTGGCCTGGGCGGCTCTGGAACATCTCGACGATCTTCTGTCTCACACGAGGCAAGGCAAGGACACACACAGGATGAGACACGTAGTTGTTGCAAACACATCTGAGTCGCTGTGGCTTGCTCCTCCTCACCACGACGTTGGCGGCCATGCACCAGGTCTCCGGACCGTCCGAGCCGACCAGCATCTTACCAGCCGAGTTGCAGTGTTTGGCTTCGTCTTCTTTTGTCTTCACTGTCTCGCATGTGCCCTCTCCCTTGTCAACCCTCTTGTCATCGTCAGTCGGTCCGCTGGCCATCCGTATCTGTCGTCCGGAGAGACAGCACAGACAGAAACGCTCCCGCGTTAAATCGGACAGTTCCTAGATCACCTCGTCGACGACACAGGTCTGTTTGTCTGGGCACTTCGGGTCCCACATGTGGCTCCCGTACACGTGTGCCTGTGTGTAGACGACACAGAAGCGTCGTAAGGCCATCGTGCGACGTCTCACCGTTTTTTGGTTCCCGTGAATTCGGTGTAGTAGGCTATCATGCTGACTTCGCACGGCTCAGGCTCGAGGTTCTTGCAAGTGGCCAGAGCGACGCAGGAGGCGAGCACCAGGGCCTTAAGCAGAAGGTTCGACGAACCGCAAACTTACCTTATCCGGAGGGCTCATTCGCAAACTCTCCGACAGTGAGACCGCCCGGCGGTAGACGACCGATGCCGTCTGTCTGTCTGCCTGTCTGTCAGGCGAGTGTGAGGACGATCTGGAGGGCTACTGTCTGCGGAACCACTTCAAGTGCTACAGACTCGTGTATGATCACAAGCGCCTTCTCACCGACGCGATTGGAGAATGCAAGGCAAGTACTGGAGGGAGTCATATCTTGTCGATAAACGCTCAATTTGATTTCATGACCGCATGGGTGGGTGGATGCATCATTGCGTGCAGGCTGCGGGTGAGAAGTGGGATTCGGATTGCGGCAAGAACAAACCCTGCAAACACCCCCTCGTGTGCACCAAGCGCAAGAGCTCGGGCGTCACGGTTCGTCACGTCTGCCTCCCCCCTGACAGTGACAAGTGATCGAACCTTAAATCCATCCATTCGGTAGCCCTGCCAACACACACGTGTGGCCTCTTCGCCTGCCTGCCTTGTTTGACTGGTTGTGTCTGTGCATGTGTGTCTGAGTTTGATGTGCGGCGAGTGGGAGTGTTTTACCGTCCAAAGCGAGCACACAAGTGTCCCTGTCGCATTGACGATCGCCACACAAAAAGGGAGAGAGGACGTGCACACATGCCCTCCCACAAACACCACGCGCGCACAAACAGATATGCTGGACCGTTTGTTTTCCTTTGATTTCTGTCCAGCTGCATGGCGTGTTTTATGCTTTAGGGTGCTTGTGTGGATGACATGATGTGGTTTGTGCAGTCTGTTGGCAACCTGTTTGATAGATGGATTCAACACGTTACAAATAGGTGAGACGCCGCGTCTCTTCACCGGGAGGGAGGTTTCTCACGTAGAACGGGCGACGAAGTTCGTCTAAGCATCAGTTCGTATCAAAGAGTCCAAGGGGACACAACCGTGCAAAGCCGATGAACAACGCTCATTTTTTTCTGCAAACAAATGCATGTCGCACACTGCAAACAAGCGCGAGACATGCACATCCGTAGACACACAGAAACACGCACATACACACCACATCCAGAACCAGCCAACCACCTGACAGCCCTCGAGGGGTGGTGTGTTTGAAACCGTAACCCCAAAAAACCCTTCACCCCACCTCGCTTCTCACACTCTCATCCTATCCATCAAAAACCCTTCACCCCCCATATGTATATACGACACAATCCTCCCTGCAGATGAAGAAAGCTGCGTCTGGTGACGATGATCGTCTCGTGCAGCATCTGTAGCAGCGAATTCACGAGCACAGGGGAGCTCGAGCCGCGGCAACTTTGATTGAGCTGTGGTACATACAGAGCTGTGGTTGTCAGTGACTGTGAGGGAGGGGGCTGTGAATGTGTGACCGTGGTTTGTTGAGAAGATAATGTCCCCTGCCCGCGTCAATACACTCAACTACACCCAACCGATCAAGCAGTCCCTCTAATTATCCATCCATCGCTCACACACACGCAGCCGCCAGCCGTGGAGCGGCTGCGTGGATGGAGTTTGCGACGAGCCCGCCGTGGAAAGAGGCCCTTCACGATGCCACCGTAGCGACGCACCTCGTGCGCTGCCCGGGACTTGGCCGCTTTCTGGAAGCAGACGATGCAGGGCTGCTGGTCGCTGAAGTGGAAGCCCTTCTTCTGCCCAACGCCCCGCAGCCCGTGGTGGGCCACACGAACGCGCGCCTTTTTGTGCTGCAAAGACCACACAGACGGAGAGACAGAGATGGATTCTGTGTGTGAAGGTTCCCCTGCACATGTGTATGTCGCGTACCAGTTTGCCCGTGTTGAGTGAGTATCGCTTCCTCTTGCGCGACTGTGGGTTGGCCGGCAGCATCTCCTCGTCCTGGTCCTTGTCCTTGTCTGGCTGAGCAGGAGTCGGTGGTGGCTTGGGGGTGGGGGGGAGGGGGCAGCAGCGGCACGGGAGTTCGCCGGTCTCGGCGTGGTATGGATCATAAACTTGTCTCTGTTACGCCGCACCTTCGCCTGCGCGACACACACACACACAGCGGACCGCAGAGCTAGGGTAACCCCCCTTTCCACTCGTGCCTTTCCGTGGTTCTCAGTGTTGACTCCAGGAGTCGAACTGCCGACCCCTCCGCATTCTGCTCAGTACATGTTTGCCCGGATGGGTGACAGAGTTGACAAAATGCACGTGTATGTATGTATGATTCATCAATCGGTCTGTCTGTCAAAAACAGCACACAACGACTGACTGACTGACTGATGGGGTCTGCACTGGATCAGCAAGTAAGGCACATAGCATCCGACAGAAGTACGTGCACGTATACCCACCCACCCCGTCCATCCCATCCCGCCTCGTCCGTGCCTGCACAGCAGCAAAAGCCGTTCCCTCAAAAAACACTGCTGATCACTATCTCCCTTGTTCCCTCCCAGCGCCCTCATGCGCCGCCACTGGAACTCTTCCCTGAGGACACAAAAGACACACGTCGTTATGTGCCCTTGCGCATGCATATTGAGTCTTGTGTTATCGCCCGGCCCACCTCTGCAGGAGCGCTGCGCTGCTCGGTGTGCGATTGCGTTTGTCTGAGCCCTTGACGGTCATGCAAAGCCATCGATGGGGCCTCAATCGCGTCGGTCGCGCTGCTCTCTGGCCGCACCCCCGGCGTGGGTATGTCCAGATGCACCGCCCTCCTGCCGCCACCCGAACGATCATCCTCGCGAATGCGGTCGGCCTCATCTCGAGACGCCACCAGAGGCTCTGGCGGCTGCAGAGCTAACGACTGGTTCACATCGTGGGCAAAGTGGCCCGCCAGCGACTCGTTGCGACCGACGCGAGTCACGGGCAGATCAGTGGGGAGACGGTCATCGTACGGTTCAAGGGTATTATCGCCGGGTATGGGTGGGGCGCCGTTCTGTGTGCGGACAGGGCTCTGTGCGGGTGGTGGAGTGTGTATCTGGAGCTCCAGGAAGGGGCCCGATGGGACGGCTCGCTGCCCTGGGCCCCTGCTAGGGAAACGGGGTAATGGCGGCTCGCCCTGTGGGGGGTGGGGGGGTTGGTGGGGGTGGCCCTCAGGCTGTGTGCTGCCGCCCTTCGGCTCGCGACGCCTGGCGCGACTGATCGATCAAACACCACACACAGACAGACAGACAGACAGACTGTTGGTGGGAGTGTGTGTGTGTGTGTGTTGGTTGTGTCCCATGTGGGTATGTCCGTACCGTTTGTTGAATACGATCCAGTCGAGGCATGTTGACGGGAGCGTCTCGTCCGTCCTGCCCTCAGCCCTGAGGCCGCCACAACATCCTGCAGACACACAGACAGACAGACAGACAGGCAGACAGACAGATAGGCAGCACCAACACGCATACGCACACAGAAAGAGGTACGTGAATGCACAGAAGGGAATAGGACCGCCTTTCGTTCTGCTATACATATTACGTCATGGTATAATCAATGATAGATGTCGCCTGCCTACTTTGGAGTTGCTGCCTCAGGCGTTTTGGGTCCAGGGGTGACGTGTCCGCATAGCCGCCAGCGGCACGCAGAGCCTCCATGCGATTCATCTGGATTGATGCACACAGCACAGGACAGCATGCTCGTCGTATGTATGCGTGTTGCCTTGCCAGCCACTCAGGCACTCAGGCGCTCACTGCCTCTCCCTTTGTTTGCTGTGTTGGCTCTCTCCTGTGAGTGACCTTTTCCTGCATTTGTCTGGACTTGAGTACGATGTACTCGTAGGTGGTGAGGTCGTGCCATATGAGCCAGATGTGCAGCAGCACCAGCTGCAGCACCAGCACGAGCAGAGGCAAGTTGAAGACGCACACCAGGATTAGCAAGATGTAAAAGGCCACTGCCGAGAACTCCCCGTAAGCCTAGTGACAACACACACATACATGCACACACAGAGAGAGGCACCTTGCGGACACGTCCACAGATAGGTAGATAGAAGCTAGATGGGCAGCACACTACCTCGATCCACTCGTCCTCGACTTTGTCTGTGAGGAGGTGTTGGCCCAGCAGGCTCGCGGCCGTGGCCACCTCCAGACCAGTAAGCACCACCACAGCCACCACCAGCACCAAAAAGTACCTGCATACACATACACATCCATCCATCCATCTGTGTGTGTGTGGGTGGGTGGGAGCGGACCAGTAGTTGGCCTTTCCGATGCAGTTGTTGAGCCACTTGCAGTGGTGGTCAAAGTTGAGGACGCACTTGTTGCAGAGGCGGCAGTGCTTGGACTTCTTGTTGACGTAGCTGCTGCAGGTCCCGCACACGTGGTCGTCCTCGTTCATGTTGACGCACTCGGGCAGCGCGTAGATGTTCATGTCGGCCGGGTCGATGACGGTGCACATGTACGCCGTGTAAAACACCACTATCGACGTCACCCCAAACACCAGACCCAGGCCAACCTGGTGGTTTGTTGGACACACAGATCAATCAAGGGACGCATGGACACATGGACCGATTCATCCATTCAGTGCATCCAATGACACACACACACAACGACCGACCCACCGACAGCCAGCCAGCCAGACAGCCAGCCAGACAGACGACAGCCAGATAGCCAGACATATAGACAGACAGAATGACATAGACAGTGAGTGTCGGTGCACACCTGACCCACCCTACCCCACCCACCTTGGCGGGCAGTTCCAGCAGTGGGATGCAGAAGACGTAGTAGAGAGCGACGTCGAGTCCGAAGATGGCCCATGAGGCAATCTGGTAGGGGTGGAATGGCGGCTCCATGCCGTTCTTGCGGTACCACTCCCCATGCATACCCACGCACGAGCTGCTCGGAGTCCTCAGTCGGGGACAAACAGACAGACAGGCCAACGCTCCGGCCGCACACAGACTGACTGCACAACCGGATCACTCACAAACTGCAAGGCGCTTCGTTTCGGCGGCGTCGCCTCTCCCAGTGACTCAGCTCTGCGAAGGACAGCTGACGGACTGCACCGATTGGCTCACTTCTTCGGTAATCCACGTGTGCTTCTGCTCTTGTTTCCTCCCCGCGGCCGCGGCTCCGTCTCCTTTTCTGCTTTCCTCTGCGCGCTTGTTGACCCTTGGCGATCCACGAGACGCAACGCGCATTGTGCTTGAATTAGGAGCGCAGCTCGGGGCATCGCGTCTGGTGGTGCTGCGAGGTTCAGCCTACCGAAGATCTTGTGTGTCCTGGTCTTGTGTGGTTGATGGGGAGTGCTGAGAGCACATCGGCGGAGGAGGAGCAGGTGGAGATGGAACTCAAAGACATGGAGCAGGGTACGGTACGCAGGCAGGCAGGCAGGCCTGTTAGTGCTGTGGGAGGCTCATCGGCCTCACGCTTTTCTCGTTTCTTCCTTCTTGCGTCGCGTCTGACAGGTGTGTTGCAGGATGACAATTTTCCATGGTTCCACATCGTGCAGTGGTGCAGCGAGGAGGTGTCGTCGGACACCGTGTTCCGCTGGTCGCTGGACGAGGTCCGCGAAAGAGTGCTGCGGCTGACCGACAGCGTCGAGTCGTTTCTGGAGCAGTGCCCTCCGGCTGACCTACCCGACTTCACACTCGATGACACCACCACATTCGTAGAATGGTATGGTCAGTCAGACAGACAGACAGACAGACAGATAGATAGATAGATAGATAGAGGAGGGCAGGGAGAGACAGCGCACGTGTGAGTGTCTGTGTGGTGATGAGTGTAGGGCTGGTGCGTTGTTGGAGCAGCTGCCGTCGCTCAAGGAGGTGCGGTACCGGCTGGTGCCGTCGAGGATCAAGGAGGAACGCTTCTGGAAACGATACTTCGGAGCCATCAAAAACATTCTCACACAAGAGGTGCATACGCCTGTCTGTCTGTCTGTCAGCCAGAAAGGCAGAGAGATAGAGAGGGAGATACATACATACCTGCATGGCCACAGTGGCCCGCACCGTCCCTGTCTGTGGGTGTCGTGCTGGTCCATCATTGTGTCCATTACTCAGTTGCTGGCCACGCCCACAGCTGAGAAGACCCACGCGCCGCCCACCCCACTCCCCTTCCCCATCAAGGCCTCCCTGCAGAACGGCCTCCCGCCACGCCCGTCATCCATCGCACCCGACGCAGCACAGCCGCACACGCACTCGATGAACGGCACCGCCCAGCCTAACGGCGTCCCCCACCAGACCGACGCCCCCTCGCCCCCCTACCATCCTCAGCCCATGATGGCCGCTGCGCCGCACCATGCCGCTCCCACGATGCCGTACTACGCGCCCCCCAAGATGGCGAGTGGGGTGGACCCCAGGCAGGGACTACTTTCCGCGGCGACGGCTGCAGCCATGTGGGGCGGAATGGGCGGTGGGGGTGGGGGTGGGGGTGGCCACCAACAGCACCCACACCACCACCAGTACCACCAGCAGCGACAACAAGAGCAGCATGGTGGGATGAACGGCCATGTAGGGAACGGCATATGAATGCGTTAGACAGACAGACAGACAGGTGGCGGTAGGTAGACAAACGAACGATGGGTGGGTGGGTGGATGAGGCAGCCCAGCCAGGCATGGCATGTAGGTGGGCAGAGCAGGGCAGGGCAGCCGGGGAGCGAGTCGGTTCGGTTGCGGGTATTCATTGATTGGTGTGTACAAAAAGAGAGACAAGGAAAGCAATTCGTAGCTAGTGAGGTGTTTGTTCGTAGCAGCAGATCTGATGACGGTGCGGTGCGGTGCGGTGCGGTGCGGCGTAGTGTGGTGTGGTGTGTTGGTTGGTCACAATGAATGGGTAAAATGGGTAGCCAGCCAGCCAGCCTTGTTTTGACCCGGCGAGGGATATCCCGTGTGCACACACACACACATGCCCCCACACATGCACCCGTTGAGAACACCCGTTGAAAACACCCGTTCATCGTGCGTGTATGTATCCCTAGAGATCGATGTCGTGCTCATTCAATTAGCGATTTGATTGACTGACTGACTGACTGATCGCCGTGCCGTGCAGTGCATGCTGCGGGTTTCAATAATCGTGAGTGATACGATACCGTCCAAAGGCTTACCGTCCATTCCTTCATTCAGTCGTACTCTCAGTCCACCCATCCATCCATCCATCCATTCATTCAGCTAGTGACTCAGTCGTCGTCTTGCAGCCCGACCAACGAAAGAGCACCACACACGGGACTAGCGATAGCTATCGACAGAAGAACCCTCAGTCGTACCGGGCTATCTATCGGTCACTCTGTGTACCTGGGGCAAATGAGCGAGTCGATCACGTAAGGCAGCCCCGACACGGACACCTCTCGCAGCAAACTGCACACACACACACCGCGGATGCACACATGCCAAATCGTCCGTGTGCATTGGTTGGTTCCACGTGGGCGAACCGTGGCTGCCCGAGATGGAGGTTTGTGAATTTGGCCACTGTCTCGTGCACCAGTACGTGCGTCTCGGAACTCAACACATCGCGACACTCCTCATGGGCCCCCTGAAGATGACACACATACACACAGACAGACCGACAGACATATTCACCCGTCTCGCTGTGCGTGTCTGGTGTCTCTCTCTCTCTCTCTCTCTGTCTGTCTGACCGTTGTCATTCTGCCCTTGCACCAGTGGGATATGGCCACCATCGACCGCAGCGCACCAACCGTGAAGTCCCCAAAGCAAGGCGACCCGCCACGAGTTTTCTCTCTTTCGACTGTCTGTGCAGGGGGGAACCTCAGCGCGACCATGGCGGTGGCCAGCTGTGCCGGGCCGTAAGCCACCCCCCTCTCGCCTGAACACACGTGCACTGGCGTGGCAGCCACATGCCGCCTCGTGTGGCGCAGAAGGCCCCCGACCAAGCGACGCATTGCCGGGAGGCATGACGGAGGCAGGAGGGCCCAGGGGTAGGTCAGGTACACCGACAGCACGTTGCAGCAACTGCGGTACGGCAGCACAGGCGTCTCCTGCTGGAGGTGCTCAAAGGCGATGGCCACATAGACGTAGGGGTCCAGGAAGTCGACTTTCTTCAGAGCCATCAGCAGAGCCACCACACCCAAAGACGTCAGAGGCCCCTCGGGACTGGCCTGCTCTTGTGGTGGTGCCGCGACGGGTCGTGGAATGATGCCGGTGTAGGGGAGGAGGGCTCTCACAAAGGGGGGGTCCCAAATGCGCATGCGCGACCAAGCTGTGAGGAGGTTTGCGGCCATCATGGGCGTGACGTCCGGCAGGAGGTCACGGAAGGGCGGTACGTCACCGGGGCCGGTGAGGAGGCGCTTCTTGATGGCCATGAGTGCGTGTGCGGCCTCGTCGGCCAGGCGAACATCCTGCGACCCCAGCTGCGACAGCTTGAGTACGAGAGTGGTCATGGTCACCAGAGAGCACTGGTCGGTGCGGACGTCCCTCTGGATCTTCTGCACCAGCAGCCGCAGGAACTCCGATGTGAGCAGGCGGAACTTGATCAGCGCGCCGCACAGACGGGCCACTGATGAGGGGTGGAAGGTCGACGGCTGCAGGTCCCCGTTGTTGAGCCGCCACCGACACCGATCAAGGATCCTCCGCAAATGGAACTCAGTCGACTCCACCCACTGGTCCTGCTGATGTTCATGCTGCTGGTCGTCATCCCCGTAGTAGCCCTCTTCTGTCGTTTCGGCCCTCTCCCTCCTACTTCTGTCGTCCTTCATGTCCTTCCACTTGGAAAGGGCGGTGAGCAGATTCGCCATCGCCCCGTCGCGGAAGTGCGCCACGTGCGGCAGCAGCCGCCGGCATGACAGGTCGAAGAGCTCGTCATCGCAAACCTCTGCATGGCTGAGGGCGCCCAGTGCGGCAATGATGGACCCCGGCTTGACCTCTCTGCGGTCGATGGCCGCCTTGAGGGCCGGCAGCAGGGCCTGCACCGCCGACAGGATCTCTGGGCGGCGGAAGAGCCACTTGAGCCGGCTGCCGGCCATCAGCAGCTTGGCGATGTCCTCGCCCATGATGTCGCATTCACCGCTGACATCAACGTCGTTGGCAAATGCGTCCCCGAGCACCACACCGCCCTTTCGTTTGGGAGGGCTATTGGTCACGCTGACCTGGAGCAGACGGAAGAACAGCGCGTCGTATTGCGGCCTTGGGAACTCCCAACCCAGACGGGCAAAGCTCATCGCACAGGAGGCCAGCTCGAAGAAGGGCACCACCGAGCCGTCAGCCTCTTGCCTCGCCATGAGCTCCTGAAAGTCGGCATAGAGCGCCGTTTCGAGCAGCTTGATGACGGCCATGTCCATTCGGGGCAGCTGGATGGCTGCGTCATGCATCGGCTCACAGGTGTCGTCCTCCTCCTCTCGGCCGTGAGGCATCATGACGGGAGCGTTGAAGTCGACCATGGCGAACAGGAGGCAGGAGATGCCCGACAGATGCAGCGCCACGTCACCACATCCGTCTGTCAGCCGGCTGTGCAGGATGGGCACGAGTCGCTGCCATGGCTCGATGAGGCTCACCCGCGCCCCCACCAGACGCCGCAGCTGACACATGAGGCCCATCAGCACGCCAAGCTTCTTCAGACGCACATCCGACGGTCGGTCAGTCACGGCCAAAGCAACACACGCCAAGCCGCCCACGGCCGACTCGAGCAAGCGCGAGTCAGCTTTGTCGGCCGCCAGGGAGTCAGTGACACCCTTCTGGTCGTCACGGCTCGCCCCTCCGCCGCCCTTCCTCCGTTGCCCCCGTTTGTGTGGTGGTGTGAGGCGATCTCTGATGGCATTGCAGGCAATCATCATCGCCCGGGCCGTGTCGATGAGTAGGTGTGGATGATGCTCACGTACAGAGCGCCTCTTGACCTCCCCGACGACCAGCGAAAAGAGCTCCACTTGCAGCCCCCCACCCAGGGTAGCGAATGGCTTGTCGTCCTTGGCGAGCAGAAACGCCTTCTGGGCCGCGCTGAAGGGCAGCTGCGGCAAGACCTCCTGCCTCAGCCGCTGCAGGCTCTCCACGCCCTCACCAGAAGACTCATCAGATCTACTGCACAAGCCACCAACCTCTACATGGAAGCGCCTCAGCGGCGGCGGGCCCTCGGCACTCATCGAGTCGCTTCGCGCATCTTGGTCACGAGCTGGTGCTGGTTCAGGGATCTCCATCACCAGCGGTTCGTCGTGAGCGGCATCTTGGCGCGGAATCATCGCTGCTGAAAGAAGCCTTCTCCGAAAGATCACATGGCTGCAAAGACGCCTTGACACATGGCTGACCAGCCTCGTTGATTGCATGAGAGAAGCTGACTGAGGACTCCAAAGTTGACAAGTGCTGGCGCCGGCTGTTGCCATGTTCCGACCAGGCCCGATAGGGTTTCAGGGTAGGGTTAGGTTCCGTCAGAAATTAAAGTACGCCAGAATTGACAGCGGCAGCCAACCAGGGCGTGCCCAAATCGCGCTCTTCCCCCCTCTCCCAAAACAGGCCGCCCGCCTTTCCCCCCGTTTGCCTTCGCTTCCCTTCCCTTGCCGCCATGCGCGTTGTCTTTGCTTTGGTGGTGTGCGGTGCGCTGCCCCTGTGCGCAGTTGGGTGGTACCTGCCCGGGGTGGCGCCCAAGAACTACCAGAAGAGCGAGCCAGTGGAGCTGACGGTCAACAAGCTGACCAGCGTGCAGACGCAGCTTCCGTACAGCTACTACCACCTGCCCTTTTGCCGTCCAGAGGCGATAGACAGGTCGCCCGAAAACATCGGCGAGGTGCTGGCGGGCGACGTCATCCAGAGCTCCAGCTACGACATCAAGATGCTCGAGGAAAAAACCTGCACCACCCTGTGCACCGTCCCTCTCAAGGATAAGGCCGACAGCGGCAAAGACAAAGACGAAGACAAGCAAGCCAAGGAGGGAGGGAGAGACAAGCCGGCGTTGAACGAGTTCAAGAGGGCCATCAAGGAGGAGTACTTCGTCAACTGGATCGTCGACAACCTGCCGGCCGCCATGAAGTACCCCATCTCTGAGGACAACTTCGCCTATATAGCGGGATTCCCTGTGGGCTACGCCACCGATGGCGACAAGGCCGAGGACAAGACGGCCTTTCTGCACAACCACGTGGACATCCTCCTCAAGTACCACCCCATCAAGACACACCCCACCATGTCGCAGCTCGACTTCGGCGTCACCACCGAGGCCTACCGCATCGTCGGCTTTGAGGTCAAGCCGAGGAGCATCAGCTGGCCCGCCGACAAGATCAAGGACATCAGACCAAACGCCGACTGTAGCAACCTCATCAGCGAGTAAGAAGCCATGGATGGCACTGCCGGCCTGACTGCCACACACGCGCAATCAGTCGTCGATACCACCTCGCACACGCTCTCTCTGTGTATCTGTGTGCGCGTGTGTGTCAGCAACGGGATGGTTCCCTTAGATTTGGAGAAGGGCGATGCGGAGCAGGTGCTGTTCTCCTACTCGGTGCAGTGGGAAGAGAGCGAGATCAAGTGGGCGTCGCGGTGGGACCCCTACCTCAACATGACCGACTCGCGCATCCACTGGTTCTCGATCGTCAACTCCTTGATGGTGGTCGTCTTCCTCTCGGGCATGATCGCTCTCATCCTCATACGCATCCTACTCAGGGACATCTCGCGCTACAATGCCGACGGGCTCGTCGTCGACACACTGGAGGGGCAGCAGGAGGAAACCGGATGGAAACTTGTGCACGCCGGTACAAATGCACCTATCTGACTTAGCGAGTGCTTGCTTGTGATCCATCCGCAAATCGATGGATGGTCTGTGGTTGGTGGTGGGTGTCTGCAGATGTCTTCCGCCCCCCGCCCGGCTCTTCTCTGCTGGCTGTGTGCGTGGCGTCGGGGCTGCAGATCCTGGGCATGACTGTGGTGACGGTGGCCATCTCGGCGCTGGGCCTGGTGTCCCCCGCCCGCCGTGGTGGCCTGCTTGTCGCCATGCTGGTGCTCTTCGCCGGAATGGGGTGCATGGCGGGGTACATGGGGGCGCGGCTGCACAAGTACTTCGAGCAGTCTAAGCTGTCGCACATGATCAACCACGGCATGAAGCCGCAGAGCCTGAAGGGCGTCTATCATGACGGCGAGGAGGTGGATGTGATTGTGACGGGTGCCTACGGCCAGACGAGCGTCAGCTGGATGACGGCGGTGCTCTTCCCAGGGCTGACCTTCGCCATCTTTTTCGTGCTGGATCTCTTCATCTGGGCGAAGAACTCTTCGGGAGCGGTGCCCTTCTCGACGCTGGTGACGCTGCTGGTACTGTGGTTCGGCATGTCGGTGCCTCTGGTGATGCTGGGGGCGAGTATGGGGTACAAGAAGGCGAGCTACAAGAATCCGGTGCGGACGAACCAGATCCCGCGGAACATCCCGCAGCAGCACTGGCTGACCCACCCGCTGCTCAACTGCCTCGTGGGCGGCATCCTGCCCTTCGGGGCCGTCTTCACCGAGCTGCTCTTCATCCTGTCGTCCATATGGCAGCACCAGTTCTACTACCTCTTCGGCTTCCTCTTCCTGGTTTTGGCCATCCTGGTCCTCACCTGTGCCGAGACGTCCATCGCCTTCACGTACGTCCACCTGACGAGCGAGAACTACCACTGGTGGTGGCGCAGCTTCCTGGCCAGCGGCACGTCCGCCCTCTACGTGTTCCTCTACTCGGTGCTCTACTCGACCACCAGGCTGAATCTGACGGGCTTTGTGCCGCAGCTCATCTACTACGGATACACCACCATCATCAGCTACGCATTCTTCCTCCTCACCGGAGCGGTCGGCTTCCTCGCCACACTCATGTTCGTCAGGGCCATCTACGCATCCGTGAAAGTCGACTAGTCGACCCCACGGACCGTCTCTCTCACACCAACGAGCGCACCGGCCGACCCACCGACCGCATCAATGACGTGTTTTATGCACACATAGAGGGGGGAAGGGGAGATATAGGCGTAGGTCCTGTAGGGGGCCTATGTGCATCCAAGTGTGTGAGATGCGTATAGAGAGACATACATATGCGTGTGTATGCGCCACTCACTGCGAAGAAAGTGCGGTGAGCTGTGTGCCTGTCCACTTACTCTATTCGCTCACGCAGCCAGCCAGCTAGATGTTGTGTGGCCGCTTTTTCGGTCTCCTTCTCTCTCCCTCTCTCTCTCTCTCGTTCTCTCTGCATGTGTTTTATGTGTACGTGTGTGTGTTTCTCTGTGTACACGCACATACGCACTGGGTGGGTGGGTGGATGGATGGATGGTGGGTTTTCCCTTTCGTGTTGATTGGATAGCATATTGCGTACTCACCGGCCAACTTGTGGCTGTGAGAAATTCATTCCATTCCCTCTGCTCAGACTGTCTTGGCGAACGGCTCTCACGACAGGCAGCATGTGTAATGTGCACATACATGCTGGGCGTGTGGATGGATGGATAAATGGATGGATGGATCTCATTTGGTGCGTGTGTGTATGGGTGTGTGGGTGTCTATCTCGTCAACCTTTATCTGTGAGTGTGTGTGTGTGTACAGACAGACAGCTGTCGAAAGAGCTGTACCGTGGCTGGGTTGGCGTCCATTGACTGCATTCCTTGCGTGGCGTGACATGGCGTGGCGTGGCGTGTGGGTTGTCCGGCCGGGCGGCCGGCCGGCCGCCACGCGCGACAAGGCAATCAATGCGGTGGAGCCCAGTCCACACACACACGGTCATCTGAGATGTGTGTGAATGAGGTGCGGCAAGGGAGGGAAGAAATCACTCACTCCTCATGGCTGAATGAATGGGTAGAATGGGTGGGCTCTCGCGTATGTGATGTGTGCAAATACATAACAATATGTCATATGGACGTACGTGGCTTAGACAAAGGCGTTGTTACGACGCCTCGATATACATACATAATGAGTGATCTATGGATGTGTCTGAGTCAGTCAGTGGGCGCTCACTTCACTCCGTGCGTGACTCAATCGATATCCCCCATGGCCGCCAACCAACCAACCCACCAGCCAAAACCGAGCGACCACCGCCTTGGCTGCTCCTCGATCATCACGGCAAAACACATACATACTCATAGACTCACTCCCATTGATCAATCCACTCTCTCACTCGCTGCCAGCCACCATGTGTGCCTGTCGTCAGTAGTCAGTATCTGAGTCCCTCGGGCCGTCCTGTGATCCCTCGGGCTTCCCTGCAAGCAACAAACACCAGCCAGAGGAACACACGACCGACCATTGGAAGTGCAGCGCCCCTCCCTCCCTCCCTGCATCCCACCCACCTGTCGAGAGCTTCATCGACCAAATCCTGCCACGAGTCGGGGAGCTTGCGCAGCAGGTATCGGTAGCTCTTGTTGGGAGCGCACCGCACCAGGTGGACGATGCGGCGGATCTCCTGGCTCGTGAAGACTTCGTGCTCCGCCTCCATGTAACCCAGGCACGAGGCAAGCAGGCCAATCCTGTCGACCTCATCCGCCACCAACGACGTGGTAGTGCTCTTCTCGTCGTGGTGGCCTTCTGCCGTGTCGCTGGACTGGACGACGACATGTCCCTCGCCCGCCGCACTCTCAGCAATCTGGCGGGCTGGCTCCTCCGAGGCGACCGGTGGCTGCTGGTCCGTGTGTGGTGCTGCGAAGTGTGGGTCGTTTGGGTCGGTTGGGAGGTAGCTGCGGCGAACGCAGACGAGGAAGAAGAAGGAGAAGTCGGTGCGGCTCATGTCAGCCACGCGCATGTGGTGGTGGCGGCAGATGCGTGCTAACACCGGCGCAGGCTGACAGCATGATCAACACAACACAACACAACACAGCAAACACAGATGCTTAATGCATCCTCGCTGCAGAGATGACGTCCCCACCCAACCAACCAACCACGCACCGAAGGCAGCGCCTGTGCAAGCCGCGCGAACTCGCCGGCCGTGAAGCCATCCGCATGGCCCTCGATCTGTGGAAACGCATACACCAACACAGACAGACAGACAGACAGACAGACGGACAGACGTCCATCGGCCCTTTCCTTCTGCTCCGTTCCTCCCTCTTTGGCTGGCTGGCTGGCTGACCATTGGATAGAGCGTCGGGAGGACCCTATCGAGCATGCCGAACCTGGCCCACGTCCAGACTGCCTTTGCGAGGAATCTGGGTGTGAGTCCGGTGGTGAGTGTGGGGTTGACGAGGTCGAGGGTGGCCCTCTCCAGCAGCCTGGGGTGCAATATCTGCAGCCTCGACAGCGACCACATGTTGGTGATGGTGTGCAGCAGCGTCGTCTGCGGGTACTTCCGCTCGATCTCCGGCAGCAGGATGTTCAGCAAAACCATGTCCTGCTTCGTCGCACCTGAGGCAACCAAGGAACACACACGCACGTCAAACAGAACGACACAATGGAACGCAATGGAAAACAGGCGCAGCCGGAGTGATATGCTTGTGCCGTCTGTGTGTGTGTGGAGCTTCCTTCCTTGCCTTCTCTGACATGGTCGGCAATGGCGTAGAGGACGTCGTTGAGTTCGAATGAGTCGAAGGTGGCGACGCAGTCCCTGATTTGTGGCAGCATGTAGTCGATCAGCTCTTGCGGCACGGGGTCCAGCTTGGCCATCACGCGATACACACCCAACAGATTCAAAGGACTGAACTCCTCAAACATCTCCTACACACACATAGCACAGCACACATGACACACATGGCACACAGAGAAAGAAATCCCCACATTCGCGCCCTCCAACCCTTCCGCCCCGACTCCCCCACCTCCCACCCCACGCACCCAAATCTTGTCGACTAGCATGTTCCAGAGTTCCAGGTCGTTGGGTGCCAGCTCGTACATGGGCCAGAGAAGTGTCATGACGTCCTCTGGCTGGAAGCCCACCAGCCGGTCCTTGATCCACGTGGTCAGCTGGTTCACCAGCACCGCCTGCTGGAAAGGCATCCTCGCGTACGCCTGTGAAAGGCGCGCCAGCTCTGCGGGCGTGTAGACGCGCAGTGAAAAGACGATTTGGTGCTCGAGGTGTGGCATGAGGGTCTTCTCGAGGTAGTCCTCGGGTATCTTGGCCACCTCGACGACCGCCTTCCTCGGGTCCTGCGTGATGCGCTGGGGCTCCTTGATCATCTCGTCGATGTCGACCATTGGCGGGTGCTGCGCCAGGTCGACCAGAGGGTTGCCCGGCGGCCGGGACATCTCGTACTGGATGCGGGCCTTCTTGATCATCTGCTCACCCAGAAGCCCGCCGTCAGGGGCGGTGGACACCCAACCATCCCGGATGTCGCGGTCCAGCAACTCACTCGGCTTGTACGTGGGCGCCAGGCCAGTCGTCACCTCGGTCGAAAGCTCACCCCCCTCCTCTCTCGGCACCACACTCGTGTCGCTGCCCTCTCCTCCTTGCAACTCGACAGACGATGCATCGCCTTTGTCCGTCGTGAGGCTGTCGTCGGCGTCTTGGCTGTCGTCTGCCTTAGGGCGGGCGAGGCTGGACTGATGCCGGCGATGGTGAGTGAGGGGCAGCAGCAGAGAGGGCCAGCGGCTGTAGGGATGATGGGTGAGCGAAGCCGATGATGCAGATGAACGCAACAAATGACGAGATCTCATCCGCCGAAAGATCATCATGTCCAGGCACAGACAGAGCCGAGCGCCACCTTCTGCTTCCTTCCCCTCCCAGCTCCCAAGCTGCCATCCGACTGCCGCCTAGGGTGCTCCCTGAAACTGCTGCGCCGACTGCTCGGCGATCACACGACCGCTTCCCCCCCTTCTTCCACTCCCCTCCACCACTGAACCATTCTAACCACCATCTCGCCATTGCACCCGTCGAATTGGACCTCTAATGCTGAAGTGCTGTGCGTACCGCAGAAGCGAGCGCCAAGAAGCATGGTACGAAAGCATGGCAGTGAGTGGGTCCATACAAGCTGCTCACTGTGTCTGTCTGTGGACAAACAATGGTGGTGGCACGGTGGTGCATGCAGGCAAGCCATCAACTCATTGATGGGAGGGGCTACCTCTCCCATGCTGCTCGACCGCACTGCAGCGGCCGACCCCCAGCTCATTCGTGTGAGAGAGAACTCAGACGAGAAAGGCAAACAGGCAAGTCAATAACTATTCCATCCCTCTCCTCTTGTCGTTGTATGCCTCAGAATCTGTTTGAGCCACTTCCACCAGGCACCGCGACAATTGCAGCCCCTGCAGCAACCGCAACGCCCAGCGCTCCTCCCACAGCCTCCCCGGTGTCCCAGGTGCAGCCAGCGTAGAAGCCCCAGAGAAGACGGAGGCCAAAAAGCGCCGAGCAAGACACCGCAGCAAGCCCCACAGCACGACGTACGAAATATCCGCCCAGACAGATCCACCCACTTTCGTTGTCTGACACGATGCAGATGGCGTCCAACGAATGGCGTCTACTACTTCGGGGAAGGGAGCAAAAGTCGGTTGGGGTGATGGTGGGAAGGAGCAGTCGCCGATGAGACATCAGGTGAGAGGCATCACATCACATCATATTATCACACCTACATGCCATGCAGAGCGTGTCTGTCTGGTGTGTTCCGTTGGCTTCTGCACAATCAGAGCACACTCCGTCAGCTCCAGGCGCGAAAGACATTGGACGATAGTGCCTCTTCAAAGATCGGCAGTGCACGTGAGCCACCGTACGTAAGGCACACCAAATCACTGCTCTTCATGCTATTGGCGATAGGCAGTCTATGATGAGCAAATTATGGGCGCAACACCCGTTCCCGAGGTGGGTTGGATAAGACGCACAAAACATATCCCCGAAGCAGCTCACGCAATTGCCTTCATGTCTCCAGGAAGCCTCGTCGAAGGACCTGAGGGAACAGAGAATGAGGGATCTCCAGGGCACACTGAGAGGCTTTGTAGACGTCGGGGGCATTCTCGGGAGAAGATGGCTTGCGGTACGCTGACTTGTCAATGACTCACACATGCGTACCCAAGGACGATTACACGGACCTCACCAATCCACCCATTATCGAGAGCGGTGTGTGTGTCCCCCGTGCGTCTTAGGTGGTATTGGTGACTCCTGCTTCTGGCGAGGGCGCTCATTACTACCTGAGGTTCTTCGCAAACGAAAGAAAAGCCGCAAAGGCGGGGCCGTTATCGGAGGAAAGCAAAGCCAGGTAAATAGAGCCACCATCATGTTAACAACAAGAAAATACCAGACGGACGGTGGCTGTGCAATTGTGCAATTTTCAGCGATATCAACGCAAGACACATAAAGGACATCAGGATGTCGCCGCGTTCTGATGGCGAGTTCACGCTCCTCGTCGACAGGAAGGGCACCGGCGCGTCTGACGAAACCATCCGGCTGCAATGCCCAGACGTACGCGTGGGTATACGTGCCCTACTTACTGTACACGGTGATACACGATAATGGCAGACATTCACTTGTCTGTGTGTGTGTGTGTGTGTATACGCTGATGGGCAGAGAGCTGAGCGTGACAGATGGGTACACGGACTGTCCCTGTTTCTGAAAGAGCTGTCCGAGGGCACAGAGGTCAGAAAGAGGGATAGTGGCAGGTCGAGAAGCGTGGAGAGACGTCAGTAGCTAGGGGGATCCTTTCCGCAAAATGGGTCGTGCACTGACTGCATCTATTGAGTTTGTGGCTGTAAGCAGGTGTTTCACCGTGCGTGTGCTGCGACCCACACAGTGCTGATGATGTATGCATTACTTCGGCTGAGCCATGCACAAAGCCGGCATATGAAGACACATCAGGGCCACATGAGTTTTGGCATCTTAATTTGGCAACTGAATAACCGACACAGCCCCACATGTATCATGCAGAAGCAGGGATGCACGCACCGACTTTGCCCGCCTCGCTGACCGACAGACGGACACTCCACCTAATCTTCGCCTCCACACCATTACTCAAAAAACGGAAAAGTCAAGCTATGTTATTTATTTATCTGCTCATGCTTGCCATCACTGGCAGACACGATCGGTTGGACAGACCAAAAAACAAATGGCTGGCAAGATGTTGCTTTTTCTTTGTCTAGCTAATTTACATACACAACACATCCAAGGCACATCATGACCGTCAGCCACACGTATGAACAGCCCGGATACTGCATGAAAGGAATGCATCAGGTTGCCTGGCATTCACATCACATACATACACTTCCCTCCGTCACTTATTTCTTATCTAGCCACGGCCACGAGACCATTGGCTTCACCCCGACCTCCTTGTCGGGGTCCTCCAGCCGCTCGATGATGTAGTCCAACACGCGCTGGCGCCCTCGCCATCGTCGTCGAAAACGTTCCATGGGTCCGTCGTCGAAACGAATTTGTTTTGGTCCTTGTCGTACCACTTCATGTGCCACGTCTCCCCGTCAGTGTACGCGCAGTGCTTGATGTCATTGCGATGGCAGAGCCACTTGAGGTCCTTTCGACCCTTAGAACGAATCCAGGCCCCCAGCAAGACAGCAAACTGTGTCCCATCCCTGATTGATTGCACACACAATACGCGTGTACAGGAAATCACGTACTGCTTCGTTGCTCGCTGTCTCATTTAGTGTGTTGTACGCATACCCTTTCCACGGGTAGTCGCCGTAGCTGTCCTTCTGTAGAAATCAGCAGTGTGCAGTCGTCGTGTTTTCCATCCGGCCCGTCGGTGGCGCTCACGAGGACCCGCCACTCTGTTGGCATGACCAACTGCTGCATCTGAGACAAGCAGAGAGGTGAGAGGGATAAATTTCCAACCGAACGCCACAGAACACGTGGGTTAACACAATCGATCGATGCCTGGCTGTATTTGTCGTCGCGTCATACGAGATCTCTCTGCCTGCTGCCTGCCTGCCTGCCTGTCTGTCTGTGTACCAGTGGCCAGAAGTAGTAGCCGCCGGCCATTGCCGCCTGGGAACGCACATTCACCTCCAGCATCCTGAAGGAACAGACACACGCGCACACAACATCCGGACTACATATGTTGCCTGTAAATGCTGCATTTTGGTGGTGTGTATTGATTGCAGTCAGGCACACACTTTCACTCACTTGCCAAGGATTCCCTTAACATCGTCACCGTCTGTTGCATCGACAAAAAATTGACGGAGGGCGTGTGGAAGACTTTTGGCAGGGGCTTCATCCGATTGGCTTTGATGATCGCTTGGTGCTGGCGAAGCATCTGAGCAGAAACGGATTCATCATCATCCTCCTCGTCGACAGCCTCCTGCATGCATCAATCAGGACACGCGCACACAGCACATCTATCTATCATCTCTCCACGTGAAGTGCAGTCGGCCACTGTGCGTCCTCACCTCCGGAACTTGTGGTGATGCGGTAGGCTCCACAGGCGGCGACGCCTTCGTGCGACTTCGTCCGTGGCGGACCACCTGCAGAAGCACACGCAAACTACTGAACACCTGATAGTGAGTGCATCTGTCTGTCCAATTCGCTCGCCTTGTCTGCCTGGTTTCCCGGGACGTACTTTCGCAGGATCCCATTGATGCCTGGACCGGGGAATATGAGGAAGGAAGAAGAGGCTCGGACAAGCGAAGGCAAGCAGACGAGGGGAAGACAGAAAAGCATTGCCGGGAGCGGCGGCACCCGGGGAGAACGGTTTCACGACAGAAACCACTTCCTTTATCGCGCACAGTTTCTCTCTTTGGAGTCGGCGGCGGATGGATCTCCCTGGCAGATGCGCGTCCTCAGCACTCGATGTAGGCATGCCACAAAACACAGGGAAAGGCTGGGCGAGAGATGCAGATGCGATGCACGCACTGTGTCTGTCTGCTGTGTGTGCGTTCACGCCTCAGCCGAGCAGGTCTCGTGGAGGTCATGGTATGGCCGTCGCCGCGTCAGAAGTCCACAAGATGAATGGCGATTCAGGCAAAGTGGCATCGACTCGAAGGTATCCCCGAGGTGCCGGCGATGATGTAGAGGAGTTTGATTGTCTCGCCGAGCGCCTGCTGCCCGTGCTGCGCGAGTATCTCGGTGCCAACAACGAGCTGCAGACGGCCGTGGTTGACCTGAAGGACCCCGCGGAGCTGTGCAAGCTGCTGGATGCCGACATCAGGGGCCACGGCGTCGGCCTGGTGAGTGAGATCAAAACGCTCAGGACGGCCCGTGACTGGTGTGAGTGTTTTTGCGCTTGACTGACTTACTGTCTTGCTTGCCTTGCTGCTGGGCTGGGTGTGGTGTCTGATTGTCAGGATGAGTTGCAGCGGCTCTTTCAGCTTGCACTCAAGTACAGGTAGGTACTCACGGAAGGGTGCGTGGGTAGTGAGTGACATGTGGAGAGAGAGAGACCCCCACCCCTCCCCCACCGCTGCTCCCTCTTGTTTCTCTCTGCCTGCCACCTCACCTCCCATCACCTCATCCTGTCTGTCTGCCTGTGTGTCTGTCTGTTCGTATCAGCGTGCGGACGGGCCATCCTCTGTTTCTGGACAAGCTGTACACGGGCACCGACCCCGTGGGCCAGTTCGCAGAGCTGCTGACATCCATCCTCAACACCAACGTCCACGCATACCACGTCTCGCCCGTCTTCTCCGTCGTCGAGATCCGCACCATCCACACCGTCGCGTCGCTCATCGGCTACTCGACCGGAGGCCTATCACGTGACAGGGATGACTACGGCGGCGACGGGGTGTTCTGCCCGGGCGGGAGCTACTGCAACATGATGGCCATGCTGTGCGCCAGAGACCGGGCCTTCCCCCATATGCAGACCGACGGCGTGCGGCCAGACGACAGGCCCATCAGCTTCACATCGGAACACGTAAGCAAGCGGGGCGTCCGAGGGAGTCCGTTCATGAGTGAGTGAATCAAGTGGCTTTAGTATGTGTTGTGTTGTGTTGTGTTGTGTGTGTATGTCAGGGTCACTACTCGGTGCGGAACGCGTCGCTCATGTTGGGGCTGGGTACTCATAGTGTGGCCAAGGTGCGGTGCGACAAGTCAGGGAGGATAGACGTGGATTCCCTAAGGCGTCAGTGCGGCGAGGCCAGGCGAGCGGGCCGGCGGGTCTTCTTCATCAGCTGCACCGCTGGAACCACCGTCTGCGGCGCATACGACCCCATTGACCAACTCGCCGAGGTCAGTTAGTCAGTCAGTCAGACAGACGAGCCGCACATTCTTGCTACGTCATTCATTCATCCATTCGTCGTGTCGATTGGCTTCCTCCGTGCATGTCTTGGCGTGTGTGTTCGTTGGTCAGGTTGCTCGCGAGTACGGTGCGTGGCTGCACGTGGACGGCGCCTGGGGCGGCAGTGTGATCGTCAGCCACAAACATAAACACCTCATCAAGGTCACAGCACACCAACGACACACACACCACACCCACTGGGCGTTTATCGTGCCTGTCTGTCTGTATGTATGTTGCCATTAATTGATGTCAGGGCATCGACAAGAGCGACAGCTTCGCGTGGTGTCCCCACAAGGCCCTTGGCGTGCCGCTCACGTGCTCAATGCTCATCGTCAAAGAGAGGGGAAGGCTCGAGCGGGCCACGGGACACCACAGCAACACAGGTGCCGCGGCATACCTCCTGCACTCCCCTCCCTCCCAGGCCGCTGCCAGCAACGCCACTGCCGTGTCCAACGGTGTGGACACGCCGGCCGACACACCATCGGACGCCAGCCAAGATGACTGTTTGGCAATCTCCTACGTCCAGGGTAGGTCCAGGGGACGCAGGGAGGGATGGGGAGAGCATTCGTTGGTCGTGCAAGCCTGTGGTGTTGTGTGCAGGGAGCAAGACGCTGCAATGCGGCCGTCACGGTGATGCGCTCAAGCTGTGGCTCATGTGGAAGTGGCAGGGGACCGATGGTATACAAACAGGACAAAAACAACGTGCACGAGCCTTCACTCGTTCGTTCACGCAGGTCTTGCCTCTCGCATCGACCTGGCCTTTTCCAACGCGGCCCACCTCACGGCAGAGATCAGGAGGAGACAACCGACCTTCCAACCGGTCAGTGCGGTGTGGGTGCGGTCCCACAGGCAAACTGAATCGTGGCCACACGACCGACATTGGTTCCATGGGTGCGGTGCGTGTCTATGGCCGTCCTGTTTGTGTATGCGACGCGTAGGTGTTGGATGCGTTCGAGTCTCTGAACGTATGTTTTTGGTACGTGCCGGTCTTCCTGAGGGAGTTGATGCCGCCCAAAGGGTCGGCTGGCCTCGACAGCCGTGTCGACACCGAGACGCGAGCTCTCCTGGGCGCCGCCACAAGACACCTCAGACACGCCCTGCACGAAAACGGTGCGTGGGCGACTTGGGCTTGAAATGCGGGAGAAAGGGAGAATGCCTTGCTCTGTGTCATTGGTCGTCTGTCGATCAGGCCGCATGTTGGTCGATTTTGCGTCCTTGAGTGACTGGGGTTATCCTCCGTTTTTCCGCGTGGTGATCAGCAGCCCCAAGGTGACTCCGGCCGCACTCGACATGGTGCTCAGCGAGATAGAGCGGCTGGGCGAGGCCATCACCTCACCAGGGCACCTCACTGCACCCACTCACGCAGTGAGAATGGATGGGTGACACAGACAGAATGCACGAAGGTGTCAAGTTTTGACAGGGAACGGAGGGAGAGGGGGGTGGGCCGTTGAGTATGTGATGCCTGTTTTGTTTGCATGACTGTGGGTGGAGGCAGGGGAGGGGGTCATGAGCGATCTCTGCTTAGTTTAAGGGTCTACCGATGCAGTCAGTGGTTTGCATGTCTTGCCATTTATTCATGATCATGATGCGTGGATGGACTCACAGTTTTGTGTCTGTCTGTCTGTCTGTCTGTCTACCTGTCTGCCCTGTCCGTCGGTGGCCTGTCGACGCGACAGGAATATCTGCTCCCGGCTGTCGGCGTGTCCCTTTTCCTGGCTGCACCGTGGTATCATGCGTATCATGCATGGGGAAGTTTGCTAGTGCGATCTGTTTGGTGTCTTCGGGTGTCTTGGTTGTGGTCGGAGCCAGGCAAGCAGAAGGGGACAAATGCATGTCAGCTGCTGCCGCTGTTCTCCAGTCGCCGTTGCATCGTTTTGATTTCGTCCGGCCATTGCCAACCTCGGATCGGTTCAACTTGGCCAAGTTGCGTGCGACCGGCCGCAACAAAGTTGAATGAAGCGACATGTGGCTCGATTCATGCAGCCTGAAGCTTGTCCAATAAGTGCTGTACGAGCCTGGATCCGTCATAGGGTCTGACGTGACGACGCATCACCCCGGAGACGGGCGCCCCCAGGCACCCCCAAACGATTCTGAGTGTTTCTAGCTGCGATGAAGGAAGACAACAACACCATGTCGACAACGGAGAGCCCCATCAGTGACAGTCCCACCGCTGCATTGGCGGGCCGACTCAGGTCAGAGCCTCACATGACATCCGTCTCAGGCGCCTGAGCTCGGAATGATGTGCTTCCCGAATCTTGTGCAGGCAACTCAAGAACGAGAATGCGATGCTGTTGGTAAGACCAAGTCGAAACTCTTCCTCAGGGACAGAGGGGCAGTAAGATCCCGTAATAGATGTCCTACTGTACCTGACGCATGTTATGCAGACCCGTGTCGAGGAAGCGGCGCTGAAGGAACGCGAAACAAGGGAAAGGGAAACAAGGGAAAGGGAGGCTCACGAGACGAAACTCCACAGGTGGGTGGGTGGGCAGGTCGGCACCTCAGCCGCATCATGCTCGCACCGATACCCCTCCCCGGCCGTCTCGGCCCGTGACGGTGCAGGCTGAGTCAGGAACTCAGGACGGAGCGCCAGAAACGGGAGCGGGAACGGGAGGAACTCTACAACGGTACACACGGGCTACCAACGTCACACCCCGTCGTCCCCCCTTACACACCCTCCAGTCCCCTCCAGTTACTCACTCACTCTCTGTCCGTCTGTCTGTCTGTCTGGTGCGGTCTCCGCAGACAACCTCCGCTTGGACGACGAAGCGACACGTGCAGCAGCTGAGATCTCGAAGCTGCAGACAGCCAACACGAAGGTAGAGAGGCACGCGAGGCGAGGGCCCAGCCAGTGGCTCGACCCCCCGGCATCTTAATCTTGTCTTTGGGTCGCTCCGCAGCTGGCGGCGGCCCTTCAAGCCGCGGAAAGGCGTATGAAGGATGAGATCGACATGGAAGACGCCGACATAGCGGTAAGCAGAGAAGGGAGCCTGCCTGACTGGCTGGCTGGCTGACCAACTGGTAGATTGGAGTCAACTCCTTTTCTTTGTTGTGCAGGAGCTGAAGATGATCGACGAAGCGCGACCTGCACAGATGGGAGGTAACCTAGAGGACAGACAGACAGACAGACAGACAGACAGAGAGGCAAACAACGGATGCCGGTAACCCTCCCACGAGCCGTTTCCCCGTCTCCCTCCCACCCTCCCCGCCCCGCAGCAATGCGCGAAAGGATAACATCGCTACACAAAGAGCTGAAGAAGAGCGAGGAGGACGTGTTGAGGCTTCAGGCACTCACCAGCCAGCAGCAGGTATATAGACATTCGACCGCCACACACACAAAAACACGCATGTATGCCTGAACGCCACCTCACGCCATCCCTTGGGCTGCTGGTGCAGTCGTTGCTGGCCAAGTCAGAGGAGCAGCTAAGTGAACTTCGCCGCCTTGTGCAAGCAGAGACACAGGCACGAGAACTCGCGGTAAGGAGATGAGACAAAGGCGAACACGAGAGACATGGCTTGCACATCCCTCCCGCTCCCTCCCTCCCTCCCTCTCTGGCACTCATTCAATGCCAAACGCCAGGAAGCGGCACTCTCAAGCAAGACCCGGCTTTCTGACGCCCTTCGGCTGCAGATTTCCCTGCCGGAGAAGCGACGGACGGACCGCCGCACACTGGCCAACGGGGCGTGCGTTGACAAGGCGGTGCAGACAGCCAAGGGGGACGGAAACATCTGGCTGACAAAAACACCACACCACTCGCACATAGCCCCTGCCGATGTGGCTCATTTGCCCGGCGCTGGTCAGTCAGTCAATGGATCGACATGTGGACGTCTGGTTGTGGGTGTCACTCGATGACTCGATGCCCTTGTTTATGTCTCTCTTGATGCAGGGGGTCAGAGGAAGAGAGTGAGGTCTCGCGGGCGAGCGGCACAGCTGGAGGGATCGAACCACTGGACATTTGAGAGCGTGCAAGGCCCCCGTCTCTTCTCAGGTCTCCTCCCGCAGCCCTCCGGAACTCCGCCCCCCTCACCCCCCAAGTTCGACGAGTCCTTCCCCGTTCGCATCCCTCCCCCTCCGGGCACTCCCATCCGCCGCCGCCCTTCATCGGCCAAGGCCGCAGATGCAACCCCCGTGTGTCGACGAGCCAAGGACGCTCGCAAGGTCATCCGTCGCCAGGCAGGCCCTCGTACGCTCGGTGATCTTGCGAAGGAGACGAGGCGTGCGGCATCGGTTGATGACGTGTTGTTGAGTTGTGGCGACGGGACGTCCTTTGGCGGGTTTGTGGAGATCCCCGGTGCTGGTGGTGCGCCCTCTGGGGGCCGGCGCGTGTCCGAAGGCGCGGTAGAGCCGAGGCGGCGTCTCTGTGCGGAGAACGAGATGCTGATGGTCGAATCGGAACTGCAAGCGGGGCAAGGAGAGGAGATCGGTCAATACGAGGAGACGATCGAGTGGCCGGTGGCGACATGGGAGGGAGGCCATGAGTGGGATCTGGAAGGTCTGCAACGCCTGCGCGAGCCAGCGCTGCGCGTGAGAGAGGAGGCGGAGACCCCATGGGTGGAGGAGCAAGCCAAGCACCCGACCAGGCAGGAGCAGCCAGCAGCACAGACTAACGGACAGGGCCAGCAGGGGAGGCCCGACGTCACCATTAGCGCCTGGCCAGCGAATAACGAGACACAAGACACACCACAAACGGTCTACCCAACTCAGGCGCCACACACACACGAGGCATTCATGAGTGTGGGGTGTAGGTGTGCGGGACACTCGCCTGTCTGTCCGTCTGTCTGTCTGTCTGTCTGTCGTTCAGGCATGGACGCATCGGCTGGTCAAGGAATGGCCATCGGTGCTCTACTCGACCGCAGGATGGTTGACGGCGGCGCATCTTTTGCGCAAAGAAGCCAGGTGCGCTCACCAAACGGCGTCATGTCGGTTCCGGACCAGCTTTCCGAGCCCATGAAAGCTGCCGACCGATCGTACTTTGGTACGCGGCTGCAGTGACATGGATGGACACAGCCATTCATCCATTCACTCACCTGTCTGTCCCCCCCTCCCCCCTTTGGTCAGCCACGAAAGCGCCAGGAAAGGTAGAGATGACGCGGGAGGCCAGGGCGAGAGAGATAAGGCGTGAGATCGATCGCAAGTTTCGCAGCAATTCAGCATCTGCAGCAGGCGGCTTGGCCGCCAAGAGCACCACAGCCGCATCGGCCCCCCTCTCGGCCGACAGTGGCAGCGGCACCTCAGAGGACAAACAAGACGAGCATGAGATCAACTACCGGCCCCAACACGGTGTGCAGCCCACATGAGGGAAAACACTTATGCTACCTACATGCCCACACTCGTGTGTCCCCCTGATCCACCAGAAATCGACAGAAATGCAGGCCAGAGCGGTCGGACGAACAGCGAGAATGCACAGCGGCAACATGTGTCTCCCTCGCGAGGCAGTGGCGGTGGTGGTAACGGTAATCGCATCTTTGCTTTCACACCTGGTGTTGACTTGAGAGGAGGTCCAATGGGCCGCTCGGCGGACGGCGTCATGTCCGTGCCAGCTGCACTGGGGACCAACATAGCCCTGCTGGAGGGCAACACCGTGGCCATGGGCAGACAGGGCGGACAAACCGCAGACACCGACCGTCCAAACGACCAGCTGGCACGCGCAAGGGTAACACACTCATACACACACGCACAGAGAGAGAGAGAGAGAGAGTTCTCATCATATGCCACTCATCCTCATGTGTTGGTTGCATTGGTTGGCATCAGCGGTCTTGGCAGGAGAATGAGTATACTCATGACAGCCTGAGGGCGCGGCTCGAGGAGTTGGAGCTGTCAGAGCAAATGATGGCGCGAGAAAGGTACGGTGGTGCCTGTTGTGCACTCACTGCACTGCCTCCAGTGGTCACGTATCGTTTGTGTTATGCTGTGATGGACATACATCCCTGCAGGGCCATGATAGAGCGGAAGGGCTTCGCCCTCGTGCTGGACATCGAGAGACACCCCCACCAACCCAAAACACCCACACGCAGACTCTCAAACTTAGCCGGTACGCTCGCCACACATAGCACATCCATCCATCCATCCATCCATGCCTACACACTGATGGGCGCTGCAGGCAAGAACACGACGACAGCGCAGGAGACATCAACTGTTCCACAGAATGAGCTCTTGGCAGTGCTGCACAACATCGAATCGCCTCCGATGATCGGCCTGCCTTTCGGCCATCACGATAGTCACGGGGCCCCCCAGACACTGACACAGCACCGCTACCAGCAGCAGTACAGCCAGACACCCAAGCGTGTCCCCGACATGCATCGCATTGCCCAGCTGGCACGGCCCAAGAAGCAAGCCATCATCCTCCAAAGGGACCCTGTAGTGGCGACGAGGGGCATTGTCCGCCCCGACGACCTGATGCGACGGCTGGCTGTCCACGACAAGGCCGTGTCCATACCATACGGGAAAATAAGGCCGTGTCCGAGGGCCCCCGTTCCGTCGCCCGAAAGACAGCGGGTGCCCACGACACCCACCAAGACCAATGGCCGGCGAGTCACCTACATGTAACCATGGCCGGACTGCATGCGAAAATGGATGGGGTGGAGTGGACACGATGATGGATGGATGGATGGACCAGGGTGGGTGGCGGCCGGTCGGTGTGATTTGGGACGGATTGTGCGTTTTGCAATGATTTGATTGCAATGAAGAACAGAAAATGGACCATTCACTTGACGCGGCAACAGTGTCGGTTCGTTTGGAGATAGGTTCATCTGGCGTGTCGCTTCCCCTGTCTGTCTCGGTTGTCGTCGTTGTCGTCATCCTCACAGCGCCGCCTCGGTTCTGGCCAGGACCATGCTCAACTTGTTGCTCAACTTGTCTTTCAGGCACGGCTGCAGTGCAGCTTCACTTGGCTGCCCTGCCACTTGTCATTCATCTCATCTATCACTAGCGTCACAGTGGCACATGTACACTTCTAGATCCCTCCGCCCGTCGAATGCATTCATCACACCCTCGAAGCACCTGCACACATGCGACACACATGGGTAAGTAAGACAGACGGACTAGCTACCTTTGAGCATTGGTCGGTGTCTGGTGTTGCGGCCGCTCATCTTCTTCTGGCCCACCAGCACATTCGGGACGTACCCACTCGCCCTGAACACACCACAAAACACACAGACAGAACAGACATCCAGCGCCATTTCGCCTGCGAGTGTGTGGCATACGCACATATATGAGAAGAGAGGCTCGGCGGCAATGCTCTTGGGGTCGAAGAGTGATCCGTAATTGGACTTTAGCTGCTGCAGCTGTGTGGCCATGTCAGGGTCATCTTGCTCATCGACCGGCTGCCACTGATTCTGCAGCACGATCCCGCCAGGCTTGAGAGAGCGCTCAACCTGAGACAACATTGGATGGACGATGACATGATGTGTTCTCTATTGAGCTTGCTCCGTGTCCCACCAGGCCGAGGAACTCAATGTTTCTGCATTGATCTGGCACATGGTTGTCTCGCTCGAAGCAGTCCACGATGACAGCATCGTACACCTGTACGTGTAGCAAGAGACACAAGAAGCTTCGTCCATCCATCCATCCATCTGTCCCTGCCTGGTTGTTTGTGTCTCTCAGGGCGTCGACGCCTGTCTTGACATGGATGGTGCCGCCGGGCGACGGCATCAGGCCGTAAAAGTGCTTCGCCACCGACACAACCCCTGCACACCAGACACACGGAAAGACACGTATGGCGGGAGCCGGAAGAGGGGGTTTATCTTACTGTCATCTGGCTCGACAGCATCGACGGTTAGGGATTTGCCGGCACAATCGATGCCAGACAGCGACGAGTACAGCGCTGCATGCCATGCCACACAAACCAAGACAGGGATGCGGATCTATATATATGCAATCAATGTCTCCCTCTTCTCTCTTGCTTACCTCCACCGCCCAGTCCGATCACCATGACTCGTGGCTCGCCGTCCTCTGGCGTGCGTGTGTTGCAGTGTTTTCTCACGAGTTCATACATCCGCTGATACAGCAGATTGGGCGGCGGCGAGTCGGCTGCTGCACCACACACATAGACAGAGACATAAAGAGGCCGCACTCACTCTGTGCCATGCTGTGTGCTTACGGATTGTGCATTGGCATTCTTTGGCACATCCGTCGGCCTGCTGGTCGCTGCCGATCTGACATGAGTTGAGGTCGAAGTCGCCCTCACACCTCACTGCTGTCTGCACGCCTGTTGCCGGCAGGAATGAAAGAAATCGCTCGTTCGTGTCTGTGTCTGCCTGGACCAGCACGGGGTATGGTTGTGTCTTGATGGTGCAGATGTCGACCACAGACCCGTGAGTGGCCGTCAGGGCGAAGGCGAGCAGAGAGAGAGACAAGGCGAGAGGCGACATGACCGACGAGCTCATATGGTGCAGAGCAGGGCGTGGCGGGCAAGCAGGTGGAATGGGCAGGAGAGGGCGGGTTTTGCTAGAGCGGGGGCCTTTCCACCCTCGTTGATTGCAGGGGGTGGGTGGGCGTACATGGGTAGGTAGCGAATGCTTTGATCGTTGCTGTCAATAGTTTAGATGCGGATATGTAATCCACTGTCCCAGCGCATGGACACACGGACAATCTTACCATTAACCACCACCGAGACGCCCCCCCCCCCC